ATCGCTGCAATAAAGCACTCGAAACTTGGCGAGTTCATGCAATGTAACGGGACATAACACAAAATCCATGCAGACACGACACACTACAATAATCAACTCTCACAGCGTAGTCTGCATATTCAGACCCTAGTTTGAGCAGTATAACACGATATCTTAGCTTACAGAAACTAAACTTCGGTAATATTTTTTGATGATTTTCATCAGTTAATTAGACTCCATGTACTGTTCTGAAGTTATAATCTACTTGCTTGAAAGACATTTGTGGGTAGTTTTCCCCAAATTAAGTATTTATTATACAGACTATTTAACTACACATGTATCGGTGCACACCAAGGTCCTCTCCACCTTTGTGTACACATAAGATAACCCAACACAAAAGAAGTATATTGGACTACACCCAAAATGCAAGCTTTCTCTTCCAAACGCGTCAATAAAAACTTATCAATGAATGGATTCTAAACATATGTAAATAAAGTTTCAGTGTGGTTACCATGGCAATAATTTTTAGATTTTACTAAATGAAATTATTTTTCGAAGGTCTGTTGGTGCTAAATTAATTTTGTTCTGTTTAATATGGAATAGTATGGAAAATATAATAGAAGGGAGATATCGAATTATGAGTTATAATATTGTCATGAAATATTCACATTGCTTTTTAGTTTGTATTGGCCTATTATTATACAGGGCATAACATTGTTTTCAACTTAACATTTAGTAGTTTGTTACGAAAACACTAATATGCCAATTGCAATGCAAGTAGAAAAATTATTGTTATCAATACTATAGGTCCATTTATTAAACGATTTTCACTCTATGCAGGGAGGTCTCATCTCCCTGGTGTATGTGTATCATACAAATACGTGACTGTTTAGAGTAGACATAGGCCTATATAGTCCAAAGGAATGATTATTGCTAAAAGGAAGTTAAACAGATCCAGGGAGCAATCAAGATAAATATACAGGTAATTTATTATATCCTGACAATGTTTTTCTCGACCGTCAGGAGTACCATTCTTTAGTGTGATTTTATCGACAGGAAATTACACGACTAGTTGTTAAAATGTTATGTAATCTGCCAAAGACGAATTGTGAAGATATTAATCCAAAGATTGATGTCTATGTGAGAGAGGAAGATCGGGAAGTTGGCGTGGAGGGCATGATGCCAGGGGGTATGGGGGTAAACGGGGGGAGGGGGGGGGGGGAGGATCTTGAAAATTTTATTTTCTCATGAGTTCATGACATTTTGTATCTTACTATTAGCTTCCCATGCAAGCCGGATATGTCAACTACAGTATCTTATTGTGCCTAATCGTAAAACAATGAAAGACACACTCAAACGCGATGAGAGTTCAATCGAGATAAGTTTGTTTGATATTTGGGTAAGATCGCTCAAATCCAAGTGAACTTGACTATTCTTAAAGACTTTGGACCCGTTAAGGTCGTCCCATTATCCAGTGAGTCACAGTGCTGACTGTTCGAGCTCTTAAAAACCGGCACAGAAAGAAACTTAGGAAGAAAAAACTAAACCTGCATAATTTAAGAATCTATAGATATTGCAACTGAATTCAATAATAAAAAGCACATCTTTATTAGCACACCCGTAGGCCGTATACTAATTTTTTGGGGCATTTTTACTGCTCACATTTATCTTATTATTTGTCGCCTCTCCATTCCAGTGTAAACTTCCAAAGATTTTACTGTTAGCGCTCTCTATGTAGCTACAAGAAAAGTTGTTTCCCCCCTACTCGTTTGAAGAAATGTATTAAAAAAAAAGGAGGAAACATACGAATTATTGCGGTAGAATAGAATCCTATTTCGATATGGACCTAATAAACTACCATACATACACTGGCGGATGATAATGATTAATCTTTAAAGTAAGTTTTGATAACCACACACTCCCCCAAATACCGAAACAAACGACGACACTGATGTATTTTGCTTCAAAACAGATCATGACACCCCTCCCCCTTTTTTCCGGGGGAGGGGTGTACTGATGTATCTATAAACCTGTCAGAGATTCTGACATTTCAGAATAGCATAATGCAACTCTTTCTTTCTTTCTCTTTTTACTTTCTCTCATCTCTTTCTCTTCCTCGAAACTTCACATCCACAGCATGGGTTAAACCAATTAACTAATTTATGCCTTAAAAAGAATTGTGAAGCCATATGAACGAATCGTCATCATCATCACCATCATCGTCAACAGTATCGTTATTGATCATCATCATCATCATCATCATCATCATCATCATCGTTATCATCATCATCATCATCATCATCATCATCATCAACAGTATCGTCATTGATCATCATCATCATCATCATCATCACCATCATCGTCAACAGTATCGTCATTGATCATCATCATCATCATCATCGTCAACAGTATCGTGATTGATCATCATCATCATCATCATCGTCATCATCATCATCACCATCATCGTCAACAGTATCGTGATTGATCATCATCATCATCATCATCGTCATCATCATCATCACCATCATCGTCAACAGTATCGTGATTGATCATCATCATCATCATCATCGTCATCATCATCATCATCATCATCATCATCATCATCATCATCATCATCGTCAACAGTTTCGTCATTGATCATCTCTCACAATTTCACTATAAACATGATAAACCGTTAATAAAAAAAAAAAAAGAATAGTCCTATCCAACCGAATATGATTAACGCACAATTCAGTCAGACATGCAGTCTTCTCTCCAATAAACGTCATTTCCAATCAAGCCTTATAATGGAAGAGAACACGCCTTCTAATAATGGAAAAGAGGATGAAATTACAACACTTCACTTTGATCTATTTTAAATTTTATTTCATGTAACAAAAATATGTATAGCTTTTATTTTTACAACGTGACGCTATACTCCTGTTTGAGCCTATTCCGCAATCACCTTCTAAACCCAGAAGCAATTATTTACTTCATTTCTGTGCGATTTCGAAAATACTTTACAAGATATTTTGACATAATCAATAACATAATAGGGGCGTGTCGTTATACGATTACGAGTATTGGTACAATTAAAAATGAACCAAAGAACAACTTAAGAAAAAATAGATTCTGGTAAAAAAATACCTTTAAAAAAAGATAGAGATATATTGAGAATAGTGATCAACACTTTATATACATTTGTAATAATATCTCCGTATTAAAATGAATAGGCGCCCTCTGTGTTTTGTGCAGACGACAATATTCTCATAACAAACCTGAAAATTGTGTTTTACTTCGAGAACCCTCCCCCCCCCCCCCACTGGCCCGTAAAAATGAGTAGGGGTTTCGAGACTTGGGCGGCACCACACCCCCGTCCAAACCAAATCTGAGTACCCCCCCCCCCCCCCTGGACATACCCATATAAGATGCCACACAGTGTTATATGCGGCAGTCAGGCCCAACCTGTGTCATATTTAACAATTGACCGTTTTAAATAGCTATGGTTGATATACGAAATAGTAATACTATAGGGTACTATAGCAACTACTTATCAAAAATCGACCAAAGACAATTTCAATTTCGTCACATATTGAGCATGGCATGCAATGACCTATTACGTGAGCCGAACATGGTTTCTATAGGACATAACATAGATTATTAAAATTGCCTTTAACTTCATTTTCAAAAATAGTTGCGATAATGTTAATTGCATCCGGGTTTTAAAATAAATTACATTGTTTATGTTTTGGGTTAGAACTGTAACTAAAATTGATTATGATACGTTTTTGTTTCGATATGATGCAGCGAAGTATATCTCCAATGTTTTCTTTACATTCTCTTTATCACTTAATTATGATTCTTAGTTAGGATATACAAATTTCAATATATACATGTTACACAATCCTTAATTTTGTCTTCCAATTACATTGAGAAAGAGAAATGAAACTGAGTTGTTTGGCAGTATGAAAGCGAATCACAAGGCTTCTTGAAAACTACAGCGAGAAATACCGCCATGTAACTTCTAAAAACTTTAATCTACAAACTCCTTTTTCTTGTACTATGAAATACCAGACATATACCAAAGACACAAGGCCAAACCGATCGAATCTTCGCCATTCGGGTGTCATGTCAATCCTGTTTGGTCTACTGTCATTTTGATCTCGTCGGTATGACTTGGGCATCGTTGTATTAAAAAAAACACACACATCTTTTTACCTATGATTATACAGCCTCCTTGTAGAGAATTCATAAAAGAAAACATAACAAACTATTGCATTTGTAAAGTCACACACATCTAAACGGAATTGGTCCTCACTATTGGATGACAAACAAAATAATGTCGCATCCTGTAAAATTCCAATTGTTCTGGAAGATAATAAATAAAGCACATAATTTAAACAACATGGAAAAAGCTCTATAAAAGCTCCACACTCCTTTGTAATTCTTCTTTTTTTGTCGCCTTGCTGGGTAAAACCAAACTACATTGTTTTCACATTGAAGTATTCAGAACAAAATACATTTGGATACATTTAGTTCTGCTTACTTTGTTTCAAAAGCTAACTAAGGCTCAAAAGGTATACAAATATGAACTCATGTAGCATATCATTCTATGTTTTGTAAAACATAAACTCATTACTATCGCAACTGCCATGTGTAGGTAACTATTCGGGTAATTTTTCTTCCTGAAAGAGATTTCTCCTATGCCGGGATACTTACCACAAGAGTGTCGAGCTTTGAGAGTTTTTTTGTTTGTTGTTGCTAAAAAACAATTGATTTGAAAGACATAAACATTCTGCACAAAACAAACGAAAAGTAATTACTCATGACAAACTTAGTTCGCTTGGTCATGCAGTAATACTAACTGATGCTCCGCTGGATATAAACACTCACAATAAAAATAAAGAATTGATTGTAATAAAAAAAAAGTTTGTTTTTAAAGATCACTAAAAAAAGAACAATAACATGAGTTGTAAAATTAATTGGAAAAAAAATACATGTACGTTGGAATTTAAAAGTAATTTCCTGGAAATGTTTTTTTACACATGATTTTAGCAAATCAGATCATTAAAAAATATGTAGTCATTATCTTTTGGTCACTCTTTATGATAAAATGATAGAATACAATGAACAGTAAGTTGTAATCATGGTAAAATATAGAAAAACAAAGAGAAAATGTTTCATTTTTTAACTCTCTGTCTACTGTAATCAGGTTGGCTGATCGAAGGCCAAATAATTATTACTTTCATGACATGTCGTAATAAATTATTATGTTCAGCACTTCCTACCGTGATTATCACGCTTTGATTGTAAAAATACAAAATACTAGATTGTAATTTCATTGTAAGGCTTAAACATTTTACATAAAAATCACGTGCAATCTAGCCCCAAAGAATTGCAATAAATGAATAACTGAATAAAAAAGGATATTTGTGACAATCTAGAATATTATATAATAATGAGCCAAAATCATTGTCCGACCGTTAGGCTTCTGCTTTTCATCTAGGTTTCATCACATTGGTTCATATGGAGACAGAGCTGACCGATTGATTTGTTTAGTTAAAATAAAATATACACATAAACTACATATACATAATACATTTCTTGCAATAAACCTCTTTTAGTCAGTTGTTATTATACATTTTATGAATAAAGGTCTACATTCAGTTTAAAATCAATATGTACATCAGTGTCCTTTTTTTCATTTACAAACTATTTTTCACGGCTGTGTAACAATGACAAAATGATTATAATGTTTTCATCTTACTATGTCCATGGAGGCATGGAGGTATAAACGGTTTCAAAAGAAATCCACATTTATATGATAAGCGCAGAATTGCTATTCCGGTGCTAGATCTCAGGGGCGTAGAGTTGGTGCTAATCAACGAAAAGGTGTTTATTGTACTTGGGACAGTTTATCACACAAGTACTCAAGACTATAACACGAACACCAGCGATGCTATCCAGGGACTCTGTCTCTGGTGTTTGGGACCGGTAACCATTATGATCTCTGAACAGTACTGGCATAAATGATAACACTGACACAAGCATTTCCTTAACATACTTTCAAAAGGTTTCTAATGGTGTACTAATGGCTGGTTACAGTGTGGCGAAAATCACTTTTTCTGATTCTAACACCGACTCTTAACTAACCAAGATCCGGGTGATTAAATGAGCTGGGGACTACAAAGGGTCAAAGAGTGACCACGTATTTGTAAATAGTACATGAACACTTTGAACATGCGTGTTAAAATTGTTAATCTTACATTGAAAAAAGTGTTTACTCCTTGACCCTTTAAAATGGTGATCCAACATTTTAGTTAGTGTTTAGAGTGGCCCCTTCTCTAAGGGAATGGTGTTTGGAACTATATACCCTATGATTGATGGTAACGTCTTTGATCCAGACCACAGACACTGGAAGTGTTATGATTCAGACACTGGCAAGTCTGGTGCTTGTTCTAAGAAAGAAGAGTACTGTAGCTTTAGAAGTCACTAACATGACACTCACGAGTCAGTGTTTGGTGGTTGGTTGAAGAAGAGTTGTTGTAAGAGTTGCTTGGTGTGTTCTGGGCTAGTTACAGTGTGGCTGATAGTCCTGCTATCATGAAAGATCTCGTAGTCGTTACCGTCCTGTAAAGTAACCAAGGAAAACAAGAGATCAAGAGATGTTAAATGAATGATTACGGGGTAGGGAGATGGGCAACCGATAGAGGAATTATTGACACCTTTACCCTTAACAGAGAGAGAGAGTGAGAGAGAGAGAGAGAGAGAGAGAGGGAGGGAGCGAGAATAATAATAATAATTATGATATGATTTTAGAGAGGGTTAATATTGACTAAGCCATTCCAGAATCCAGAGCCTTCCTGGCTATATTATAGAGCCTACACAATTGTGATTTCATTAACATGTTCATTTTATTTCATTTTCTTTGAATTTCAGTCTGTTGTCATGACAAAATGAGGGAACAATGCACTTGAGTTTTTTTTCTTCACTATTCTGGTTAGGTAATTGAATTATGGGTAACTGAATGGGCTATCCAACCGTATGTCTATACTTTACACATTTACTTACTTTCTTATCATTTGAAATGTGTTTTATAATTGTGTATGTTTTTAAAAACTTGGATATATATATATATATATATATATATATGGATTTCGGAAATAAAAACAAACAAACAATTCGTTATCAGAGAATATTACTGTCTTACTTATTTGAGCTTGAAAGTACCACCAAAAAGACAAGATGATCCTTATGTCAAGTCCATTAATCTTGCTATGTGATTGCATGGTGTATTCAAAGACGATACAAGAACATTAAGGGCAAACAGAAGGAAAAAGGTGAGATTCAAGATCATTATGTCCCGTCAGCATCCCGTCTCCTCTCGCCTCACGAAAGACGACTTGATGAGACTCCTTGTCTCAATGGCGGCACTTTCAAAGCGTTAATCCACCTTAGTTAATTTGTATGAAAGCAGAAAAATACGAGAAACAAAACGTCTAAATGAATCGGACCAATAATAAGAGAGTCATAGAGAAGGAATATTGATATACCTGTGATGTCCTGTCGCCGAAGAAGTATATTTCTTTATATTCCTGATCCAAATATTGCAAACAGAATGTCTTATCCCATCCCATCGGATACACGTCAAAGCTTGTTTGTCCTCCTAGAAATTAATAACATGAACACAATACTTTGTTAATTTATGCAAGCTTCACATAAAAAAGGCCTAAAAGGGCAAATTCCAAACAAACATATCGAAAATAATATCGCTAGTGATATTCGTTTGTCTCGCAATGTATGGTCAACAAGGGATCTAAAAGAGTATAAAACACGCTTGCTTACATAATTACATTATATTTTATCACCTGACGAAGTGTTGCAGCGGCGCACGAAACGTCGTGATCTTTTGGATCCATTGTTGACCATACATTGCGAGACAAATTAATTAACGAATATCACTAGCGATATAATTTTTTATACTACATCTGCAATGAGTAATATATTTAGCATTATATAAAACATATATTGCAAATATGAATCGAGTATGTTAAATATCACGATAAACGTATACCAGTCAAGTAACAGGTATGATGAAACTATACCATGCATCACAATTTCACTATTACTATTTTACAAACATGTTAATATTCATCTAGTTATTTTTGGTAGAAAAAGAATAATAATCATGTGAGTTGAGGCGATAATCTCTGACGCATTCCTTTAATTGCAAGTCAGTGCTGCTTGCAGATATCGCCATCAAACTACTTTATATACAACATACAGGCAACTTGACTACAGACAAAATTCAACTAGCTCTTTAATTGTGATTTTACTGTATAATACGATAATCAATCGATTCTGTCATGTTTATTCTTCCTTGCTCTGTGTGTAAAATTCAATGCACTATTTTAAGAACTTGTAATGTATTTAGTTACGGCACCTGTATCTATAGGCTAGCATTATTGAATATCAACATTGCTTAATATGTTTAGTGGAAGGTGAAATGAAACATAGTAATTCAAAGCTGTATTGGGCTATGTATGAAAATTCAAATAGAAATATCTCCCCTGCGAACTGAGTAGAACGTAAAAAGAGCAAAACTACCTTTGATGGATGAAATTAAAAAATGATAAACTGAAGAAATCTCACCTATTGAAAATTTGAGTCCGCTGGAAGAAAACCTTTCTCGGAGTGTTTTGACCATCTTTTCTCTGACTTTGTGTTTCTGTAGACAATTAAATAGAATGTAAAGTCACACTTAATTCACAGATGTTTGATTTGTCTCTGATCCCGTTGACACTTGTTTTTATATATTTTTTAATAAATTTTAGTCAAGGGAAGGGGGAAATTAATTGAATTTATTAAACATCCTTGACAAACATCTGTAACGGGGGGGGGGGGGGTACCTCTTCCCTCACCTTGCCAAACTATAAGTATACTGAAACAAAACATTACTGTTTTAAAATTTCATTTACAAAAAAGTGAAATACCTTATTAAAAATATTTAATTTGGGGTGTTTCTACACACCAAACTGTCCAGTACATTTGAAGTCACTATTTTTATTGTGAAGTATGCACCTTTATACTGTATATAAAGTTTATACAGTGTAATTTATATTTAACTTTCATGACATTAAACACAATATTTATATGCAGTACTTGTACTGAATTTATGTGACCATATGGGAATCGACCAAGGGGGAAGGTTTGTCAACAATAATTGTAGCATCGCTCATGTGCATATGGAATGCTCAATCTATCATAAAAATTGTGAAATTTGGCAGCTAATCAACTGATGGAAATTCTGTTTCACCCTATGTTGTTACATTAATGTCAAGTATATGGCAAATATTTTTGTGTATGAAAAATAATGGAAATTTTGACAAATAAAACCAATCTATATACCAAATCAAGTATGTAGCAGGGTTTTTTTAAGAACCGATATGTGACAACATGATAATTTGTCAGATTCATTTATTTCCTGTAGTTCATGAGTACCTAATAAACATTTAATGCAAATTTTAAAGAAAAAGTAGCACACGCCTCCCCAAAACAAGCCTACACTCTCACAATGAATTCTGCTCATCGACCACCCTGTGCTACTAAAGTGACTCTCACACTCTGCCGTGTAGGCCTACCGTGTGCCACCGTGCGCGAAAATGTCTGCGGACGGTGGAGAACGGCGAGGGCACACGGTGGTTCGTTATCAAAGCGGGCAACACGTTAATAGGGCGTTGGCGCTTATTTACACCCAATGGGACCCGGCGAAAGTTTTGGGCATGTTCAAAACTTTGGCCGGCTGGCACCGGCCGCAAGTAAGCGGCAAGAGGACGGTGTTGAACGGTATGAGGACGGTATGAATACGTTATGAAAACGGTCACACTGTATGAACACTTTCACAACACGCTCATAACCCGTTACAGAACGGTGATGAAAAATGGAGAGCGGACTGACCGTTGCCGTTCAATTCGGGGTATTTATGGCAGTCGTGTCATGACGTCAGCAGTCCGGGGACTCGTTCACAGGACGCTCCGAGCGGTGAGGGGACGCTAAGTGACTGGTAGGTGGCTGCTACAAACCCGGTGCACACGTTCGAGACCCGGTATGGGCCCGGTATGGAAACGGCCAAAATTTTCAACAAAAGTCAATCTGGGCGGTGAAGACGGTAGAAGCACGTTCAACACCCGGTATGCGCCCGGTGAGAACGGTCAGAAGATGGCAACGAAACGGTGAAAAGATTAAATTTATGAATTTTTTTTTGCGGCCGGGGACAAGTTCGCTCAAAACCCAACGTTCTGGACTCTGTTGTTTTTTAATAGCCCGGCAGGTGGACGGTAGGCCTACACGGCAGAGTGTGAGAGCTCCATAACAGATGATGGGGATTTGGTGTTCGGACACTGACGAACATAAAGAATTATCTTTTGCCTTCGGATTAAAAGAAAAGTATTCACCAAACAGCACTAACCATCATGAATATTTGTCCCATCTAACATTGTCAAAAATAAGTCTTACAAGATTTATTAAATATTGCTTTAAACTTCTTCAAATTGTCGTTTTAAATCAAGTATCCAGATACACAACCTGTCCGAACACACAACGTCTGTGTATACTAAACCACCTCTACATAAATTATATTAATGATTTTCTAGATGACCTACCTTGTCATATTCACAGAAGATTCTTCTGTCTTCCAGAGTTGAGTTACATCGTCCCATAGGACATATATTGATCATACCGGTACGACATTCCACAAAACATCCTCTGAAAAACAGACAAATAAAATCAAATATAAAAACCCTTGGCTCTATTGGGTATCATACCGGTACACATTCCAGAAAACATCCGGTATCAGCGTAATAAATAATATAACAGTTACGTTCAAAGAGAGACTTTGGGGGAAAGCGCCTGATAAGCACCGTTTTTATTATTATTACTAAAGTGCACTGAGCTTAATATCCACAGGTAGAGCAGCCAGATGACAAAGGAATGAAACAGGAAACGAATAGAATATTAATTTTAAAGAGATAGATGAAAATAGTTGCGTCAGTCAAAGACTAATAAGAAGAGAAGAAACAAAATCAAGAGACGAATTTCTTTTCGACAACCTAGACCTGTAAATACAGTACATGTGGAACTGCAATCTTGCTTCGTAGACACAGTACTTTCTGATGTGTATTCCCCGAACAATGACAATAATGACTTACATAATTATTAACAATTATGCAAGATCAAAAGAAGAAATGAGATGAATTTTATCAATATTGTTGTATAATAATTAGGGGCGCTATATAATTATAGTTTACGTATACGTAAACTATAATGAACGAACTCTACTTCTTCTGATCATTCGATTTTAAGTACACGCAAGTGAAATATTAATGTGATATCAAAGAGACAAAGTTCTATGTTAGCTAGAATTATAACAATTTGTTCAATAATGAATACCTTTTGATCGGAAGATGTAAATCAGCCAAATAGTGCAGTACAAAATTGATAACTTCTTGTAACTTTTCCTCTCCGATTTGCTCTGATATAATCTGAAAGAGAAAGGAAAGTAACCAAAAAATGTAATTGATCCTTATCTATAGTAAGCAACTAATAGAGCAAAATTACGTAAACAATATGCCTTTATAATGCCATTTAAATACAAATATGAATAATTTGAAGTAGCACTAAAAAAGTACAAAACTAGGAGAATATTCATTCAAGGTAAGGTAGTATATAGTTCCGGGGTTATCGGATAATTTATTTTTTTAAATCATGACAAACAAACCAACAAACAAACAAGATCTGCGAATGAACAGAAAAACCACATTTATTTACTCAAGTGTCATCAAGGTTATAGTACCTTTTTAACCACACAATATGACCATGCTGCAGAACAAGGACAAAACAGGGACCCAAAATAACAAATATATTGAGGCATTCAAGGAAACAATAACATCGTTATCGAAAAGAATATCTACAGCGACGTTTAAAGATCGACCTGTCAAGGCACAGGACGATGAAGAGCATTATAGCCAATCTTTCGAAGTCGAATACGAAAACATTCAGGGAACGCAATGGGGGGGGGGGGGGGGGGGGGGTAACTGTCATGCAGGGGGGGGGGGGAGGGGAAACAAGATTTCACGATTGAGTGGGACGAAAGTGTATATAATGAGATAGATATATTTGGTAAAATAGAGATAGATAGTGAGAGTGAGAGAGAGAGAGAGAGAGAGAGAGAGGAGGGTAGACAGTAAATATTTATATATTTATAGATGGATGGATGGATGGATAGTACAGAGAGAGAGAGGGGGGGGGGGGAGATAAGGCGAAGATGGGGGAGAGGAAGGGAAAATAAATATTAAAAAAAGAAAAAAAGAAGTGTGATAGCGAGAAGGGGAGGGAAAGAGAAATCCAAATGATTCTTTAAAATGATAACTACATGTACGTTGTTTGATTAAAAAAGACACTTCGTGATGTCATTGTTTCCATGGTAACTGACCTTCTTAGCAAACACCTGTCCCTTCTGATATGCTACCATGCCGTTCTCTACGAACACGTAATCGAACATCTGGTGGAGATCGTGTCCGAGTTGGTTCTCGACGCTCTTGATGTCTGAGCCCGTGATCAGACCGATGGGAACATGAGTCTGTAGCTTTAACAGGACGTCGATCATCTCGGGTTCGATTGTCTGTACGATCAGCACAAACAAACAAAGTAGGAAATCATGAATACTACGATCTGAAGATGTACATGCACATAAGGTTGAATTGAAATAAACGTTTCCAACTTCATTCCACAAAATGATTGCGGGAATATGATTTATTCTTGATTTATATATTCTCGGATCTTTATTGATCAATAAAGTGCTGAGATTATACAAACTGTTTCTATCAAGAATAAATCACATTGCCACAATCATTTCACAAAAAGAGGCATGAAACATGTATTTCAAATGTATGGGCATCCGAGTTAAAAAATCGTCTATATTTCATTATTAAAAAAATATATATAAAAAATAAGTGTATGGTGAATGAGGCACACTACAAGAGTTCTACCTACTGCAGGTCAAGGTTTTTTTTTCTTAATTCTTAAAATTGTGGCGAAGTTGGTGGTGGGGGCGTGGGGACCAGTTCAACCATAAATCCCGCTGTATAAACGTATGTTTAAGTCCATTATCTTGATTATAGTATGTGTCATGTATTCAGAAGTATTTACTTGCAAACTCCAGCCAATGCAGTTTTCATAAATGGAATAGCTAGGTTGAGCGTGCTGCATTGTCCGACTATAGGGGGAGGGGGGGGGGGGGGGGACCGGAGTTTGTACGATTTTGTTTTCTGCATATCATTCTCGAATTATAAACAAATTGTAAGACACAGTTGTCTACAGAACAGCAAACTTGAAATCACCCATATTTTCAGCTATTCAAATGGACAGACTTTAATGTTCACCTGAAATTGTACTTTTATCATTATCTTTCAGGATATGAGAGTGCACAGTGGTGATGACGTTACAAACCAGTCAACAACAGTGTTTCTCGGTATTTACCCTGTCAATTCATTTCCTCTTCTCCATATTAGTGTCTTATTTCCTCTTAGCTAGCACGCAGCTAAGCAGGATTTAAACAAAAATGTACCATCATGTGAATTTATACTGGGGTAGAATAATGAATGACGCACTTCGCATTTTAACAAGTAAACAATTCTGACGTGCATGGTCAACACGATTTTCGATTTTCGACTGCGCTCAGTTATTGTTACCTCCAATAGTTTGTCTTCTTTTTATTGTCTGTGGACAATCACCGGTAAGTGTTCTTTTTTACCAAAATATGGAATGTGGAATGCAAAGAATTATCACTAAGATTAATCCCTTCCCGCCTGCCGAACCGTATACATGTATGCAATGGTGAACAAATTGCCTTTTTGCCGATGTCATCCTATCTGAATGTCACTAGTAAGTCAAACACGACCTACTATTGTGACGTCACGGACACACCCTCCATATACCTCCGCAATTGGCCAATCAGAACATCGCTCGCCCGATGGTAGACCGCAATGTTTGGAATGGAAATGTACGACACTGCGGGCGACGAAAAACTAGACAAACACCCAGTCGCAAAAAAATGTATGAATACCCATCACAAGTATACATACAAAATGGAACTTGTAAGAGGAGTTTACCGTTTATTGTGTTCGTTTCAATTAACATTCCCCCTTTTGATCGAAGCTCATTGATTTTGTTGGGATTTACCACGTCTACGATTGCATCATCACATGTATGCACAAAGGAGAACGTGCAGTCAAGTACAAGCTACTCTATGATAATGCGATTTACGTGCAAAAACACATGTAGGGTATGGAAACATGTTCGTGGTGCTGAATTGTAGTGGTACCCCTTGTACATGTAGACTTGCAGTACTAAATTAGCTGATATATAATTCACATTCATGGTGAGAGAGGTATACACATATTAACAAGTATATGGATATGATCATTAGAGCATAAATTCAACATGAAAGTATAGGTTTACATGTCGATGTTGTGAAATTTACAGAGCAAATTATAAGAACATTCGAAAATACATTAACACCATGCACCAACAGCACAATATTCATACTAGTTTCTTTGATAGGTGACAGCGTACGAAGAAAGTTATGTGCAAATATAAAGGTATAGTATTAATTAAGCAACATGAAATCCAACTTACCCTTCTTGTGTTTGTTATGGTCCCATCCATGTCGAACAGACATATTCTCCTGCAATTTGAATTCTTCCCCATCATGGGCATCTAGTTAGATCATTCACAACCAATCAACAAGAGTCACTGGTACCATCACAACATCCTACCAGGAATGGGAAAGAAACAAAACTGTTTATTTCTGAAGAACAGTTACATAAAGGACGAACATCAACTCCGCTGGTATATACCGGTAGTAATATCCCAAATTCCGATCAGGGCTAGCTAGCGCCAGTGTGCAATGTACATAGTCAAGTAGACGTACACGCCTGAAATTTCTAGCTTATTTTCGAGCAGTACTATGCAGTGTCATTTCTTGTACGTGTTTTTACCGAGGGCGTTCAAAATCTGATGTGTATACGCTGTACGTGCGGTGGTGCGGCTAATTAGCACGAACGATAACAAAACAGTTTTATGACCATGGGCTACTTTGTCGGTATAAACCCGGATATGCAATGTTAGATGCACAGGCGCGGATCCAGGATTTTCCAATAGGGGGGGCCGGAAATTTGAAAATTGCGCAGACCTTTTTTAATACTCAACATATCAATACTTACAAGGTCATATTAGAAGCACCATACCGGTACAATTTTTGTCATTTCAATCGGGGGGGGGGGGGGGGGGGGGGGGGGAGGGGGGGGGGGGGCTATAGCCTCTTGCCCGAAAAAGTAATTTTCTGGTTTCACAATTCGGCTAGTGAGCGAAGCGATCGAGCAAAAATTTGAGCATTATATATGTACATGTATATTATGAAAGTGTTATTTATCACGAAAATAAACGAGAAAAGATATCAAAAATTCATATTCGGGCAGCTCGCTGTCCCCCCCCCATCCCCATTAAGCGCGAAGCGCAGAAGCTCTGATGTTTCATGAAATTATTAGAGGAGAGGATTCGTTGAACCATTCTCGACTCTAAAGCGCGGAAACTTTGACCTTTCATAGTTTAATGAAATTATTAGAGAAAGAATTAGAAGATTCGTTGTTCCATTCTCGACTCTAACTCCTTGTTTGAATTTAGTTCGCCCCCCCCCCTCTCGCGCGAAGCGCGGAAGCTATGACCTTTCATTAATTATTAGAGAAAGAAGAAGATTTGTTGTGCCATTCTCGACTCTTATTCTTTGTCTGAATTCAGTTCCCCTCCCCCTCCTCGCGAAGCGCGGAAACTTTGACCTTTCATAGTTTAATGAAATTATTAGAGAAAGAATTAGAAGATTCGTTGTTCCATTCTCGACTCTAACTCCTTGTTTGAATTTAGTTCGTCCCCCCCCCCTCTCGCGCGAAGCGCGGAAGCTATGACCTTTCATTAATTATTAGAGAAAGAAGAAGATTTGTTGTGCCATTCTCGACTCTTATTCTTTGTCTGAATTCAGTTCCCCTCTCCCTCCTCGCGAAGCGCGGAAACTTTGACCTTTCATAGTTTAATGAAATTATTAGAGAAAGAATTAGAAGATTCGTTGTTCCATTCTCGACTCTTATCCTTCTCTGAACGTAAAGCGCAGAAGCTTAACGTTTTATTAAATTATTAGAGAAAGAAGACGATTCGTTGTACCGTTCTCGACTCTTAATACTTGTCTGAATTGAGTCCCCTCCCTTCTCCCGCGCGAAGCGCGTAAGCTTTGACGCTTCATTAATTATTAAAGAAAGAAGACGATTCGTTGTACCATCCTCTTCTCTTAATCCTTGTTTGAATTCAGTTTCCCCTCTCCCGCGCGAAGCGCGGAAGCTTTGACGTTTTATTAAATTATTAGAGAAAAGGATAATTCGTTGTTCCATTCTCGACTCTAAATCCTTGTTTCAATACAGTTTCCCCCTCCCGCGCGAAACGCGGAAGCTTTGACATTTCATTACATTATTAAAGAGAGAAGATAATTCGTTGTTCCATTCTCGACTCTATATCGTTGTTTGAATTTAGTTTTTCCCCGCTCGCGAGTAGCGCGGAAATTTTGAGAGAAAGAAGACGATTCGTTGTACCGTTCTCGACTTGTCAGAATTTCAAAAATATTTCCTTGTCTGCTCCTTTTTCGTCTTATGTCCTCTTACTGCCCCTATATCGCCCCTGGCTACGCGCCTGCTTTACAGGGAAAATGAAACAATCATGATTGTGATAGCACACAATTAGACTAGTAGAAAGGAAAGATTTATTACACCAACCATGGATAAATCCATGGTTTTACCAACATGAGTTCAAATACAAGCACAAGCGAGTTGATTTGAGCTGAATCCAAATGAAGGGCAAAATAAGAGTTGTGAAGCGGCCCTACCGCTAATTAAAAATGTGACTGTTGAGTATATAGCTTCTATTTAAAAGACATCCAAAATAGTGTGCCCTTTTCAAATTTCTCACTAAAGAGTGGTGACCTTTGTAGCGCAGGGGCTGTTTTTAGCGTTTAACTTTGAATCCGCGGCTCGAGATTTTATGCGGCCGGCCCGGCCCCCTCTATTCAATGACGTTTGCCAAGCCTACTGGAATGACCCCAAATCTCACGATTACAGTTTTTCCCTTATTCGTTGTTACTGTCACTAAGCGCCATTTCCCCCCCCCCCCCCCCCCCCCCCACTCACTCAGTGTTATCTAGGGTACGCGCAATTAATGTTCCCTCTCTTTGAAAGCACCCCTCTATCTCCGGTGTGTAAACGGGCCGGACTTTGTTGCGTGAAAAGTAACCCTTTTTCGGAGATTTTGAAAACACAAATTCGGGGGGGGGGGGGGGGGGGGCTTTCTTCGTCATCATTTCTCTCTTTTTTCTCTCTCTCTCTGTGTTTCTTTTCTCTTCTTTCTTCTCTTTTCTTTTCTCTTCTCCTTTCTTTTCTCTTCTCCTTTTTTCTTCTCTTCTCCTTTCTTTTTTTCTCTTCCTCTTTTTTTCTTTTTTTGCGCCGCCAATAGGGGGGGGGGGGCCGCGGCCGTTTCGGCCCCCCCTGGATCCGCCACTGGATGCAATAATATGGTGATAAAAAAAAAATTACGGCATGGCACTGTAGGTTAAAAAAAAATGTTGTTTTATCCAGAAAATTCCATGATACATCCACATTTTCATAGCCCATTTATAATACAATTATGCAGTCCATTTAATTAAATTTAAATTTGCATATAGGCCTACTTCTAAAATCCTTACTGGCTATTTTCCCTTGGAAAACAAAGAATAAGAGACAATAAATAGAATATACGAAAGAAGAAAAAGCCATAACGAGAAAAAGAACGACGCACGTCGACCACGGGAGGAAGGGGTACGTACTAGCTATATTGGTCAATGTGTATTATAAGGGGAGAGGGAGCTAGGGCGCGGGCCTTGGAAAGAGAGAGAGAGAGAGAGGGGGGCAGTGAGAGAGCGAGAGATAGCCTACATAGAGATAAAGAGAGAGAGAGAGAGAGAGAGAGAGAGAGAGAGAGAGAGAGAGAGTAAAAGAGAGAGAAAGAGAGAGAGAAAAAAAGGGGGGGGGGGAGGGAACGAGATGAGCAGAGAAAAAAAAGTCAAGGGGGGGGGGGGGTCGGGCGGATAGGTGAAAACCTGAAATGCAGGAAACCCCTGTTTTTTACAAGCTATAGGATCGGGGATCAGGGCTAGGATATCGAAATTCCCGACGTTGGATGGAATAACCCCCCTTCAACCCGTTTCATGTTCGGTTGCTTCGCTTCCTCGCGGGGTCACATTAATGATGCCATCCAATTTTAGAACACCCCCTTTGAAAGAATCCTGTGTAGGCCTACGCCACTGACTACTAATAATACTACTACGCTTTGAGCATGTTTATGTAAAGGCGCTATAAATTAATTGCAATATATATGTCATAACGGGCCAGCAATGCCCAGCAGGCACGTAGCCACGGGGGGGGGGGGGGGGGGGGGGGGGGGGGGGGGCACGTGCCCCCCAAAATTCCAAGATCGGTTGAACGTTTTTTGACCCTTTTTGTTTTACCTCGATCGATTACAATTTATGTGCCCCCCCCCCCTCAAAACATCAAACTATGGCTACGTGCCTGATGCCCGGGGTCAGCAAATCTTCTTTTTATCAAGGGGGAGGGACATTTTAGGCATAAAGTAGTAGTAGTAGTAGTAGTAGTTGTTGTTTTAGTAGTCAGTGGCGTAGACCTCAACAGGATTCTTTCAAAGGGGGTGTTCTAAAATTGGATGGCATCATTAATGTGACCCCGCGAGGAAGCGAAGCAACCGAACATGAAACGGGTTGAAGGGGGGTTATTCCATCCAACGTCGGGAATTTCGATATCCTAGCCAAAAAAACAACCCAGGGGTTTTCCCGCTTTTCAAGTTTCACGTTTCTTTCTTTTTTCTCCACATTTTACAATAAATAGAGACAGACATAATTATTATGAAATAAAAAATCATATATGTAACTATACAAGCACGCCTTACAATGATACTCAATTCATGTGAGGAACCTATTGAAAATCGGTGCGTGTAGATTATAGCTTCCTGATAAAATAGACATTGTAGATCATAGGCGTAGGAAGCTTTTGTGAAGTGGGGGGGGGGGGGGGGGGCGTTGAACCACTCACCCTAAACAAATCTGAATGTGCGCGAAGTCCCTTTCGGCCGGGGTCCATGGCCCGCTCAAGGGTCCTGGAAGCTCGGGGGTCTAGATACTCTCTGGTGCAATATCAGCTTTATTTTAGTGCATTAGTTTTATTTCATTTCTCAGACCAAAATAACAAGCAATTCATCATGAAGTAAAAAGTACCAATGGAAATTGTGGACGTTATGGGGAGATAGCCATGAGGGGTTATGTTTTGTTCTTCGAGATTTGACAATCACCATTTACCGTGGACAAGAGCCTGGCGGAGCGACTTTCAAAGTTGGGGGGGGGGGGTACCAATAAAAAAGGGCACCTATGCACTCTCAGGAGACAGGTCTGAGAAATAATTATTATTCTACGCCAGACCAATATTGTCTTCCTCTATAAAGAAACGTGTGTTAATTATATCAGGGATATTTTATTTATTTATTTATTTATGCATGTTCACAATTTCACAATTCATTGAAGTTAACATCACATGAAAAATTAATGTAACATGACAGATCATTTTCAATTTTACAATACATTTGAATTAACTTCACGTGAAAAAGAATATAACATTGTTTTATCAAAGACAAGTTGCAACTTATATACAGTTTGAAGAATGAACACACAAAGGTGATGAAAAAAGGGATGAAACATAAGCAAATAGAGCTTGAATCGTTCCAACACCTTTCAAATATACAATATATGACAAATAAAATTCCTAAAGTTTTGTAGTGAACTATTTACACTATTTACAAAGTTTTTAAAAAAAAGAAAGAAACAAAGAATTTCGTTAAGCCTCTCATATCCCTGATTATATAGAACCTGTCGATGAGGCCACCTGTTGACAGTGCCAAATTTTGCTGTTTCCGGACAGGGTTTAACTGTATTTTTCTTATTTCAATATAGCCTCTATTTATAGTTACATAATCGCATGTTAAGTGTTTAGGCCCACAGTCCCCCCCCCCCCCCCCATCAAATTATAGGCCTAGAAGGGGGGGGGGGGGGGATTGGGGGTTCTTTGGGATTTAGTGACCCCCTCCCCCACTCGGAATGACGCCCCTGTATGTTTCTCCCAATGACCGGCCTCAAAAAACGTTAACACTTTTAATCTGTGACTTTTAGCTGGCTGACTGTCCAAAACGCCTCCCATTATTTATCCATGCAAATTGGGCTGCGCCGCGGCGCGCCGTGCCGCGCCAGCTCGAGCTAGCTAGCTCACGCAATATAGGAAAGAGATTTCTCAGGTATCATAAAGTTCTGACGTGTCAACTCGGCCCGCTTCTGCTTCGCTCTTCGGGTGCTACAGTTTGTGTTTTCTCCTAGTGTTGATCACATATCGTTCTCTCCTCCAACATGTCTCGTGATACATCAAAGATCATTCTTTTCGACGTTGATGGAACTCTTACTGCCGCTCGGAAAGTAAGTAAACCAAAGATACATATCGCTATTAATCAAAATCATTAAAGGTAAGTCCCACACATTGAAAATTATGTACCGGTATCTCGCATCCCGGCCAGTCAAGCGCATGCAAAGCCGTGTCTTTCGCGCCAGGCTGCCGGGCGCGGGCGGAGCTGTCGATAGCCTTTGCCTGTGGACGACTCGTGGAGCGGGGTGGCCTGTGATGAGTCGAAGGACAAACTCGGGCATTCTAACTTATTAATCGCATAGATCTAGATCTCTAGCATTTTCAGACTGTGTTTAAATAATACTTAATACATGACGAGGTAGATGATAGTCTGCTCTAATTTCATGTTTATGTTTGGATATGGTCTACGTAATCTAGGCCTGGACTGGTCGTGAAAACATGAATAATTAACTGTTTGAATATTAAAGTTTTAAACTTTAAAGTAAACTTGAATTTTAATGTTATTATTAATAACTATTAACTAGACAATAGGAATAGCCTGCAGACTCTACAGTCTAGTCTATGATCTATTTCACCGCATGATTTGATTTGGCTTAGCCTAAACATAAACATCAGTTGTTTAGTCTAGACTACTAAAAATATAACAAAAATTGCAACAAAAAAAAAAAGTGAAATTGAACAATACATCCATGAATTCTTTTAAAAGTCTATTCACACTTACTAGTCTCTAGACAGGCATACTAGAAAAGTAAAAAAAAAGTAATTGAATATACTTTTTCCAATAAAAAGATTAGTTCTATTCTAGATCTACTACTAATAGGGTCTAGTACTTATTTCTACAATACATTATAACTTGTCAGACTCTGATATCATACTAAATACAAATACTAATTGATTCCTGGTCCTGTATATTCTGACGTAAACTGGAAAAAGCACCTCATTTCATTGTTTTTAACCTGACAATAATCAACGAAATCCTGACACTTTCAAGCTCATTTTCTCAAAGTTAATGACCTTGACATTGTTTTAGCATTGGCTTTTGTCCGCTAGTTGTATGTTTTTGGCATCCTTTGGGTTATTAAAATATTTTACAGTTCAATATATTTACCCTTTCTTTTTTTGTTTCCCCTCTCTTTTCCGTTGATGGGTAACATTCTGAGTTAATGTAGTTTCCTCTAAATCAAGTATTGAAGTTTTATTGTTACTTTATATATGTTGCGCATTGTGGTTATTTGGAGCATACTCAAAGCTGGAAGCTGTTTTAATTTTCTTCTTCTTTTTCTTTTTTAAACTAGCTTTGTTTTTTATAAAAATCTTTTTATAAGGGCTTAATAAATTTTAGCATTTATTGGACTGATAGTTGATATCTGTGTATCCTTCTTCCAGTTGTCAGAAAGTACTACAATAAAAAGACATTCAACCAGATGTGTATGTACATATATGTAATAATCATACTTCTTTCCATTTATTTTCTATTTTCTTTCCAGGTTATCGAGCCGGATATGGTTGAGTTTTTGGAGAAACTGAAGCAAAGATATACTGTTGGACTGGTGGGAGGTTCAGATCTGCCTAAGATTACAGAGCAGATGGATGGCGTAGAGAGAATCAATATGTTTGATTTCGTCTTTGCTGAGAATGGGCTTGTTGCGTTAGCTAAAGGAGAAAACATTGCCACACAGGTATTAACCAGAAATCAAGATTGTAAAATTGTAAATTTCCTCAGAAATTAAGAATTTCTTGTAATAATTTTATTATGTGCAAAGTTTATTTGTATAGTTTCCTGAGCAAATGAATTATGTATTTCTGTTGGAAATGAAATAAATATGAATACGAATATAATATGAAAGGTAATGGACCATGAACAGGTCTACAATGAGCATTATGGCTTATAAGCCTTATTGAAAACCCTTTTAAAGTAAACAAATATCATTATTTGTGATTTACCATAATTATAGCTCTATCAATGTTGCCCCCTTTTAAATATTCTTATGAAGAGAAAAGCAGTAAAACAAAAAACTGATAAGGAGAAGAAAGCATCATTTTTTATCCATCATGTAACAAATTTGATTAAACAAACAAGCAAATTTTATTGAAACAGGATATTAATCAATTATTGCTCTTTTATTATTGTACTAGTATTCTGTTCCTATGAAATAGTATCCTAAACAATGTTGGATTAATGCAAATGAATTAAACTGAAACTGCTAAGAGCATTGAAAGAGAGTATCTGCTTTCCACAGATGTGTTTATCTTGTGATATAATCTTGGCTAACGTAGTGCCATTGTTGAAAGAAAGATCATATACATGTATATGCCAAAAATCCACAGTGGCAAAGTTTCACTGATGGCTTATGTAATTTGAATGCTCTTCTTTCATTAGCCTAATACTTACCAGAAGGAAGCAATATGTAATTGGATTCTACCTAATTAATTTTTGTCCTTGCTATATTCCTCAAAAAAAGAATTAAAAGAATTGAATTGGATTGAACTGATCTTTGGTTAATTATTCTTGTTTGTTAACTTTGCTTTCATTGATTTAATTTAGAGTATCTGACCATGATAAGTAATGATAAATAATTATATCATAAATCTATCAATTTGCCTTTATAGAAACATGATATTAAACAAGTATTTCTCTTTCATTACTCTGTCTGAACAGTTCATATAAAACAGTAAACCAAAACAAGGTAAGCTTAATGCAAACAACTGTACTTAAAAGAAAAGATTGTAATATAACTCCTGGGATAGAAAAGTACATAATATATTATTTTTATATAACAATATAAATCAATTGATTTGTCTTTCTCTTTCCTTCAGAGCATTCAAAAGTTCATGGGAGAAGATAAGATGCAGGAACTGATCAACTTCTGTCTCAAATATCTGTCTGGTGTTAAATTACCCCTCAAAAGGTAAGCACAAATCTCATTCTTTATCTTGTTTTGTTGTAAGTTATTTGATCTGATACATTTTAGGTGCAGATTAAAATTCACACAGAGATAATTGTGCCCTCTTGTATGTAATTTAGTGTTAGGGTATGGATGAGAAAGTCAATTATCTAGAAGTTGTTGTAATTTGTTATTTAGATATATTTGCTATTTAGATATTTTCTTTGTTTTATTATAATTTTCAAACACATGTAAGTCTCATATCTGTGAAATTACAAACAAATATTCTGGTGTGTTACAGTGAAACTTTTCTTCCTTTTTCAATAACAATTACATCAACAAATTTACTTAAATTGCAAAAGTTTCCATTCCATTGATTCATTACAAAATACTTCTTCTCACCTTCAAATGCATCCATAGTCTTGCTCCTCCCTACCTATCTGATTCTCTCTTCGCTCCTCTCAAGGCTTCACATTGAACCACCCATCTCCCAAGGTTCTTCCCACACTTGGTGACAGAGCATTCACATTCAAAACTGTGGCATGAGCTACCCAGATTTCTTTGCAACCAGCAGTCTCTCATAACCTTTAACAAATCTAAAAACTCACAACTTCTGTTAATTATGTAATTGTAAAGCAAATTTCAATATGAAAATGGAAAATATGTTATATAAATGCATTACCGGTATTATTATTATTGTCCAGTCTCTTAACTCATTGGCTGTGGGTTCCCTTTTCAATGGTATGAGAATGAGATCAAGATAATTCAATAGTCAACTAGTTAACTAATTCAGTGATGATTATTCTATGTTTGTTGTTTCAGAGGAACCTTCATTGAATTCAGGAATGGCATGATCAATATATGCCCAATCGGGAGGAGTTGCAGTTACCCGGAGAGGGGGGAGTTCAGCGAGTTTGACAAGGTAAGATTTTTCAAAAATTAGGTAAAAATAATTTACAGATGTCTCCTTTTTCCTTGTATGTGTGTTGTATGCCTCAAATTGATTTTAGGGTAGCCATGAAATCCTCGAAGAAGTGTTAAGAATTTACACTTGCCTGTTGGTATATTTTTAGTCTAGAGGAAAATATACCCGTACCGTGTATATTTTTTGACTGCTCTCCTCTTTTCGATGGAAGCTGATCAAATATTTATTATTTCTCAACATAACCAATCATTAAGGACTCCTCTTGAAAGTCCCAAGAGACACTTTCCCATCTCCTATTTTAGTCAGTTTTCATTGATTTCAGGATGATTTGTAATTTTGTATTCATATGGGAACAGACAAATTCAATTTAAGTGAATTGTTTTGACTTTTTAGCTCAAAAAAATGACATTCCTGTTTTCTGTGGCAGACTGCCGGTACCATAACTTCATATTTTTAAAATGTAGATTTCTCCTGAGGATTTATTTTGTTGAAAGCTTGTGTTCAATGAGATTTTTTAAAACATTTTTTTGTTTAATATATTCAGCTCCATGGAGTGAGGGAAAAGATGGTTGAAGCCCTTCGCAACGAGTTCACAAAAGACGGTCTGGTATTCTCGATAGGTAAGACTACAAGATGTTTTTATTCTTATTCTCCAATGTTTTCCTTTTCAAGATATATGAACAGGACCTATAGCCATGACATGATTCTTGAAGGATTGATACCTCATATCCAAGGGACATTTAAAGGTGTCAAAACATTACCATTCTGCAAGACGCCAGGATTTTTACGGACGTGTATCAATCAGATATGATTATGTACATCTGGGGACCAACCTTTAACGTCACCATCCGAAAGACGTACATTATCTGCTCATCCACTGAGTCTAAATACGATTTGCCTCTTAACAAATATCTATATACAGCCAAACCTGTCTATAGTGACCACCCAAGGGAAACACACACTTTGTAGACAGGTTCCTTTAGTACATGTTTCAATGAGAAACCATTTTCAAGGGAAACAAAAAATGTGGTCTTTGTAGACAGGTGGTCTTTGTAGACAGGTGGTCACCAAAGCAGGTTTGACTGTAGTTAACTTATCACTTTATCATGACTCCTTCACCTATTCTGTGTACAAAGTGCCCATCCTTTGAGCTACCCCCATGTTTACTTTGTCTCAAAGTGCAGTCATGTGAAACCATCTGTGTACACACCATAGTGACCACTCCCCATCTTGATTACCATATCAATGGAGGATTGTATTCCCTCTAGGTTTCCTCTGTTTGTATGAATCCTTTGTAAATTCAATTGCCTGTGAGCTAAGCTCTAATTCCTGTGCCTTACCTACTCTGCCTAGAATACTGCAGTGTAAGGAGTTAGTTATACCATGGACCTACTACGGTTTTACAGTGCTCGGTAAAGTTGTATGAATTTAGGCCAGGGTCATTCTGTGATTCATAATAAACAGCCCTAGTTTAGAAACATGTCAGGCACTATTCAGAAATTTTTCTATTGGAAACGCCCCACTGCACTTCTTATAGCTACTTGCGCCCTCTACAGTATATAGCAAACAATGCCTAATCTGTGACTGTTGGTCCCCCATGGTCCTCTTTTTCTTATGTTAATTGAGAGCTGATTTGATGAGATAACCACTTGTCAGGTCTTATCCCTCCTAGCCAAACTAGTGCAGATGGGCTTTAAAGCCTAGATCACTACCTAGCTGTAAACTAACTATGGGCTTACTTTGTAATTAATTGACAACTCGGTAGCTTAAAAAACTTTTATAAATACAGGTAGTTAATTGGCCCTCGCTTTGTTAGTTATGAATATGGACCCTGGGGATATGGATGATTGCTAAAATCTTCTACAGTTCTAGCAAACCACAGATGCAATCCTCCATTCCAAAGTTTATGAAGGAATATTATTTTATGGGCAACCCAACATTTGTAATAAGTTTGTGTATTAGCAGAAAATAGAGGAACAGAAATGTGCAGTAAAAAAAAAATGGACAAAAAATAAGAAAGTTATGTTAAAAAATGTTTGAATGTTTCACAAAATATATGTGAATCTCTAATTTGAAATTAGGTTGTTAGATTGTGAGTAGTGAGGTATTCATGGTCAATTGTTCTGTTTGCTGCATATGAAATAGATATCTTTTTTTTGTTCTTCTAAGAAACATTTCACTCAGGTCATCCAGAGTGAAATATTTTGAGGGAAGAAATGAGATATTTTACTCATTTTGTATGTTGACATGACATCACAGGGACATTATTATTATTCATAACTTTCTTATTGTTTGTCCGATTTCATTTAAACTTTTACAAATCTGCTCCTCTAATTTGTTTGCTTTCTTGAGCATCATGCTTTTAAATTTGGATTTCACTTTAATGTATGATGTTATATTAAAAAGTCTCTGTCTCTGCCTGTGCTTCTGTCTATCCATCTCTCCCCCTCATCCCTTCTCCCCCCCCCCATGCCTCCCCTCTCACACCCCCTCTCTCACCCCCTCTCTATTCTTTTATCTCTCTCTTCACAGGAGGGCAGATAAGCATAGATGCATTTCCAAAAGGATGGGACAAGACTTATTGCCTCAACTTCTTGGAGAAAGACTTTAAAGAAATCTATTTCTTTGGGGACAAGACGTACAAGGTGAGAATATTCATTTTCAATACTCATAGTTTATGGAAGTATCTGTTAACATATAAGTTCAAACTTTCAGGTGTGATGTTTATTGTTCATTTATGCTTATTGTATATATATTTATTTTTGTTTATTGTATGGGATTGAGCGTATTATGAAATGTAAGTATTGACTGCTCAATACATATGAACCAATCAATTAAGAATTTCTCAAGTGAAGTTGTATTTCACCAAGGCTGCAGGCTGCAAGCCAAGGTTGAAATATGATTTCAAGTTGGGGATTATGAATATATTAAATATTCATGATATAAAAGTAAGGGTGTTTGTAAGCTCTGCCTCGGTTTTGCTCAGGTTATCTAACCTTCCACATTAAATGCATGTGGTTTAGAAAGTGCAAACAATTGATACATGTACAGTTGCTTGATAATGCGGTTCAATTGGTACTCAATATACATGCCCCCCCCAAAATGAAGTTACATTGTGCACTCCTTTGCATGTATCAAATTGTTTAGTGTCATGTGAAATCTTTCCAGCCATTAGGATGCTCTCTAAAAATGTCTGATTTTGTAGTGTGTTGTATTATGTTATATGATAAAAATGTATTATTACATTACATTACATTAAATTTACATTACCTTTACATTACAATACATTACATTGCATTGTATTACATTACATTTTCATTAAATTACATTACATCGATATTACATTACATTACATTTATATTACATTGCATTACAATTACATTACATATATATTTACATTGCATTACACTACATTTACATTTACATTGCATTACATTACGTTACATTACATTACATTACATTACATTATATTATATTATATTGTATTTAACTATTTATTATACTAAATTAATTCCCTCCCCCTCTCTCATCTCTGTTTTTCTTTGTGTTTTTCTTCTGTATTTAGGGAGGCAATGATCATGAGATCTTCGAAGACTCAAGAACAAAAGGATACACAGTAACGAGTCCGGAGGATACCAAGAAACAAGTCTGTCAGCTGTTTGATATAGAATAAATGTCTTCTGCAACTATTATAATGTTGCATACTAATAATTTAACATATTTTTATAAGGTTTTAGTGCTTGTTTGTACATTCCGTTTGATTCAGTATTGAATTAGGTTTTTATAGGGTAATAGAACAATAAAAGCAGAACAATCAGATAGGGTGAAAACTTTACCGAAATCTGATGGGTTTATAAAAGAAGGTTATGATTTTAGGAAGTTGTAATTACAATAGGAGTTTCAAATTGTGGAATGGGTAATGTCACTGTGATATAGTTTAAAGGCACACTGTCCTACTTGTAGGTACTTGCTCCCTCTATATAGAAAACTTCCCTAATCGGTGCCTGTTGGTCCCCCATGTTCCTCTTTTTCTTATGTTAAATGAGAGCTGAGTTAATGAGATAGCCACCTGTCACAGTGACCTTGCTGGCTCGCTTGGTGGTCTAATCCCTTCTGGCTGAAGTAGTAAAGCCTGCCTTTAAGACATCTCTCCTGTTTGTTCCAAATCAGAAAGTGACTAACTTATCATTGTTGAAAATGAATGATGAGGTATTGATATATTTAGTTCACAACAAAAGGGGCCTCACAGTCAAATGACTACCCGTAATTCACCGATTTGAGATTGCCATATATGTATAGTGATTATAGCTTTTACAATTTCATAACTTTCTTTATTGTTGTTTGTCTGATTTTTTTCTTCACAATTTCACCAAACGGTTTCTCTGATTTTCTGTACCGGTATTCTTAATTTATTTTTCATCAGAAAAATGTTGGATTGATCTTTAAAAGAACATGTACATTGAAACTCCAGAGTAAGAGGGATATATATTGCACAAAGTCATAATCAACGCGATTGTATTTTAAAGTTTTAATGTATAGAAAAGTTTGCACAAATAAAAGAGGTAGGCTTTTTTTTGTAAAATTGCAAAGATTTATTGATAAGTTGTAGAGGCATATTTCTATCAATAGCCACAACGTGGTGTAGCTAATGTAGCTATTTTGCATACCATGTTTTGCGTACAGTAGGGTTAGGGGCATGTTAGTGACCTCTTTTTAGAAACGTCCCTCTACCACTGATTAAATAATACCTACTAGGCATGCTCCTCCAATTTTATGGTTTTCAAAAAAATGGAAAGAAAGAATGGGGAGAGGGGAAGGCACTAAAAAAAAAAAAAACAACGACGAGATGATAGGACCTCTTTTAAACTGCCTACCCCCATTCAGTGATACTGTTGATGCATTTCATCTCAACCCAGAAAGCCTAGTGCCCCTTCCCCCCCCCCCCCCAATAAGGCCACTGCTACCGCAATTCCTGGACCAGTGCTTACAAGAACAGAAATTGTAAAGAAAGATATGAAAAAAGGGCTCTGAAGAAATGTATGAGAAAACTATATTCTGTACTCTTATGAACATTATGACTATTATGGTAATTCGTATGTGCATCGGGAAACATACATCTCAAGAAAATTTATTAGTGTTTGTATGACTTACACCATTGATGTATGTATGTATGTATACATTTATTTAATTAATTCTTTTACATGCTAGAGCGCCCTAATGGCAGCACAGCTAAAGCCGGGGTAATAACCTCCAAGTTTGGAAGCCCTTAGTGAGTGTAATAAGCGCCATATTATAGTTAAGTATTATTATTTATTTGTGTGATAATTGTATATTTGATATCAGGAAAGGTCTTTCTCGAAGAAGCATTTTAAAGCAAAGTGACTCATAGCGTTGATCTCTTTGTTCAGAAGATATTGTAAAAATATAATAATTATAAAATTTTGAATGATATTGATGTACAAAACGATTGATGCTTGTGTTGTTGAAACTTTTATGGTCTTTAACAAGCCAACTTATGAATGATACAAAGCAGGTTTGCTAAATTACTGATATATATATATATATATATGAAAGATTTATGTATTGCATCTTTATTACTTTTCCTATATGGTAATGTATAATATTATTAAAAGATATTGTTAGAATAAAATATTTCTAAAGGCCATTTGCACAAACTTTGTACCCCAGCTGCATTAACAATACATATTAAGTGAGATATCGCTCATTTGTGAGCCTTCTTTAATTATTTTTTTGTATAAATATATATACTTTAATTTAAACTGTAATAACCTGCTAAAGTTGTGGTAAAAATTATGGAGCACCATGAGTGTAAAGTCAGACAGACATGAGCGCTACACAAGAAGCCACTACTTTTTTTAATTTTTTACTATCATCAGTCAACAAAGGCGTTCTAAAGAAATTCCCCAAAATGTCTAGCTCTTCATGGACCAGTACAATCATTCCAAGAAAATAAGATTACTTTTTATTGAATTTCTCTTTTCTATTTTTATTATCATTTTGAAAATGTGAATACTTATTGAATGTTGAATGACATTTTAATGGAAATTCAAAGAATTATAAATGATTTTACACTGAAAGTATTGCCACTGCTTGTGTAATTTTGTATCTATGATAAAACAATCATGATATGTTTGTTGTGACAGCTACACATACTCTATGAACATTCTGGCTAGTGAGTCGGGGATAGCAAACATGCTGTAAGTTTGTTATTACTTAAGATGGAGGAGGATGTTTGGGATGATGATGGTGAAGATGATGAAGATGGAGGAGGATTATGAGGAGGATGGTGGTGGTGAAGATGAAGAGGAGGAGGATTATGAGGAGGATGGTGGTGGTGAAGATGAAGAGGAGGAGGATTATGAGGAGGATGGTGGTGGTGAAGATGAAGAGGAGGATTATGAGGAGGATGGTGGTGGTGAAGATGAAGAGGAGGAGGATTATGAGGAGGATGGTGGTGGTGAAGATGAAGAGGAGGAGGATTATGAGGAGGATGGTGGTGGTGAAGATGAAGAGGAGGATTATGAGGAGGATGGTGGTGGTGAAGATGAAGAGGAGGAGGATTATGAGGAGGATGGTGGTGGTGAAGATGAAGAGGAGGAGGATTATGAGGAGGATGGTGGTGGTGAAGATGAAGAGGAGGATTATGAGGAGGATGGTGGTGGTGAAGATGAAGAGGAGGAGGATTATGAGGAGGATGGTGGTGGTGAAGATGAAGAGGAGGAGGATTATGAGGAGGATGGTGGTGGTGAAGATGAAGAGGAGGATTATGAGGAGGATGGTGGTGGTGAAGATGAAGAGGAGGAGGATTATGAGGAGGATGGTGGTGGTGAAGATGAAGAGGAGGAGGATTATGAGGAGGATGGTGGTGGTGAAGATGAAGAGGAGGAGGATTATGAGGAGGATGGTGGTGGTGAAGATGAAGAGGAGGAGGATTATGAGGAGGATGGTGGTGGTGAAGATGAAGAGGAGGATTATGAGGAGGATGGTGGTGGTGAAGATGAAGAGGAGGAGGATTATGAGGAGGATGGTGGTGGTGAAGATGAAGAGGAGGATTATGAGGAGGATGGTGGTGGTGAAGATGAAGAGGAGGAGGATTATGAGGAGGATGGTGGTGGTGAAGATGAAGAGGAGGAGGATTATGAGGAGGATGGTGGTGGTGAAGATGAAGAGGAGGATTATGAGGAGGATGGTGGTGGTGAAGATGAAGAGGAGGAGGATTATGAGGAGGATGGTGGTGATGGTGGTGATATGGATGGGGAAGAAGAGGTGTTTTGAATGATGATGATGACCGGGGTTATATTTGATAAGGATGATAATGTTCCGGACTAATTATGACTGATTGTCATTTTTTAGAAAGCAGGTAGCCGTATAATTGTACAGCTATATAGCACCAAAGTAATTGTCACCAATATCAGTAAAATAGATAATGATGATCGAGAGCTAAGCATGCATGCATGGTGTCCATCTTCCTTCCTACAGTGAAAATTATCACAGGTTGATTTTTTTTTTTTTTTTGCTACAAATTTCCTTGTTATTGAGATATATATGGAACCCTTAATTTTGATGGTGGTCTTTTTGTTTCCAGTCTCCTCTAAATTTTGTAAATTATGAAATATTTTCCCAAGCAACTGATAAACAGAGCAGTCTCAAGAATCAAACATAGGAAAAAAATACAAGACAATTGAACACCACGTCAATGTCACATTTTATGCTTAAGTCGAAACACTACCGCTGACAATTAACAGCGAAGCCTGATCTGGGACAAAGCTGAATGGCGTCTAACTAAAGCAACAACAATAACAACGGATTGCATATTGGAGCTAGCTAGGTGGATGCTTTTGGCCTCGTAATAACCCCCATCGGGCTGGAGCGAGCATATGCACGCCTTCGATATGTTGGTCGCGTAGCGTAATTACGTAAGCCTTTCTTGTGCACACTTTTGCACTTTCTCTCAATCTGCTATCCACCTTTCGCCTTCTTGAGAGCTGACTGAGCTGCGTGATCCTGAATTAGCCTCTCAAAAAGAGAAATTCTTGTCCCTTTTGCCTGGATCAGGACCGCTCATCAGAAGGTTACGTTTTGGTCAACATTTTGTCGGCACAGAGTAAGTTTAAATGGAATGATCTTGACCATGTTTTAAGACTATAATTAGCTGACATGTCTGACGGGTGACGGAATGTAAAGTCTCACTGTCACAATCTCATAGCATTAGGCTACAATTATGTAGACAGAAATAACTGTCTGACATGGGTCATTTCTTTAACTCTTTGTTTGCTTTGTTCGCCGATTTGCACGGACGTAGGCGTGCCAACTTCGCATTTTTGCACAGATGTATACGAGTCAATTAGACATTCATAATACCGCTCGCAGTGTGTAGCCACGCGTTGCGTTTACTATTGTTTACATTGTATACATCGCACACTTTCCGGTAAACTGTTTTTCTTCATAGTGTTACATTCGAAATTACCGTGTATTTAGCGGTTTTCTTTGGATTTTTTTTACTGATGTTACGATGGCACCTGCTGGAAAACGTCAACGTGTGTTTAGTGTAGAGGAGGCTCGAGATCTTGTTACTATGGAAGCATGGAGCATGGACTCTGATTCCGACGAATCGAGCAGTGACGAAGACTCTAGTGATAAAAGTGTTCCCTGAGAGTAGACTGATAGAATAAGAATGAATAAAAATTAATGAAAGAGCTAGAGATGACAGCAAGAAAGAGAGTAGACTGATAGAATAAGAATGAATAAAAAAAATGAAAGAAGGAGATAGAGATGACAGCAAGAAAGAGAGTAGACAGTGATAGAATAAGAATGAATAAAAATAATGAAAGAAAGAGATAGAGATGACAGCAAGAAAGAGAGTAGACTGATAGAATAAGAATGAATAAAAATTAATGAAAGAGCTAGAGATGACAGCAAGAAAGAGAGTAGACAGTGATAGAATAAGAATGAATAAAACTAATGAAAGAAAGATGTATCCTGTCTTGCCGTCATCTTTATATCTTTCTTTTATTATCTTTATTCATTCTTATGCTATCAGTGTTTACTCTCTTTCTTTCCGTCATCTCTATCTTATTATTATTATCATTTTCCTATCTATATGTACCCTATGTCTTGCCGTCATCTGTATATCTTTTTCTTATTATCTTTATTCATTATTATGCTATGAGTGTAATACTCTCTTTCTTGCCGTCATCTCTATCTCATTATTATTATCATTTTCCTATCTATATGTACCCTATGTCTTGCCGTCATCTCTATATCTTTCTCTTATTATCTTTATTCATTCTTATGCTATCAGTGTTTACTCTCTTTCTTTCCGTCATCTCTATCTTATTATTATTATCATTTTCCTATCTATAATTATGTACCCTATGTCTTGCCGTCATCTCTATATCTTTCTCTTATTATCTTTATTCATTCTTATGCTATCAGTGTTTACTCTCTTTCTTGCCGTCATCTCTATCTTATTATTATTATCATTTTCCTATCTATATGTACCCTATGTCTTGCCGTCATCTGTATATCTTTCTCTTATTATCTTTATTCATTCTTGTGCTATCAGTGTTTACTCTCTTTCTTTCCGTCATCTCTATCTTTTTATTATTATCATTTTCCTATCTATATGTACCCTATGTCTTGCCGTCATCTCTATATCTTTCTCTTATTATCTTTATTCATTCTTATGCTATCAGTGTTTACTCTCTTTCTTTCCGTCATCTCTATCTTATTATTATTATCATTTTCCTATCTATATGTACCCTATGTCTTGCCGTCATCTCTATATCTTTCTCTTATTATCTTTATTCATTCTTATGCTATCAGTGTTTACTCTCTTTCTTTCCGTCATCTCTATCTCATTATTATTGTTATTTTCGTATCAATATGTATCCTGTCTTGCCGTCATCTTTATCTCTTTCTCTTATAATCTTTATTCACAGTAAAGTCCTTTCATTTCATATCACTATTTCTCTCTCATAATGTCTCTCACGTCCGTTCTCCATATTTTATTCATTGCATACTCCACTCGTCAATCATTTCTGATAATAAGCTCTCTCACAATAAAGTAAATGGAAAACAATGCAATATAGTTTATATTTTAAGATTGATTCATTCTTTCTTTGTATATCTATGGCTGTGATAAATGTACTTGAAATCAATTTTATTGAGGGGTAAAGAAGGTGAGAAAACAGATGCGGTGAACATTCATAATGAGACATTTCAATAAGATGCTGATTATGTCATGTATATCACATATAATATATTATGCCTATACCATTTTTACATGCTCATACCAGTGGGCAAAATCAATAACATTCTCTTATTTCTTATTGACTTATCATGGCACAACAAAGAAAAACATCCCCACGACGTCCCTTTTCATGCCCCGCTAAACCGGACATTGACAATAACCTGGGGTAATAGGGATTTCAATGGGCAGATTAGCCCATTGTCAAGGGTGGCTGAGCGGGGTACTTTCAAGTCTCTCCCTATTGAACTTCTTTTCTTCAACAACCTAAATACTAACCTTCTGAATTGTTAGAATACTTGAGCAAGGTATGTAAAGAAAGGTAAGAAGTCCACCTTTCTAATAGATTCGATTTGAAGATGTCTTATCATTGCTAAATAAGAAATTCTAGAGGGATAAAAAACTGCCGTAAATAAGAAAAATTAAACATTATATAATTATGATTATTATAAAAATGATAATTCAAAATATAACAAATGACGGTTCATCGAAAAGCACGTTTTCCGGTCTACAACTTTGCTGCACAATATTTTTCATCATGATCATCCAGTGAAGAGTTATAGCCTCTTGATTCAGCAGAGTCAATAAAGATTCCCTCGAAATGTGTGACCCTAAAAGAATGTGGCACAGGGGGGGGTTTTAAGTGGCGCATAAAGAGTTAAAGGTATAAAGACCAGTATTGGAAATGCCCCAATTTCAAAATATGAAATGGAATCTGTTATTACCAATCATGTGAAAGAATATGTTTTGACTAATACATGATGATAACATTAACAGTTTTGCCAGGAAACCACTAGATCTAATTGATATAGTCTAGGCCTAGACTCTAGTCTATTTGGTAAATTAGTTTATCTATTGGTATGTGAGAGATAAACGCACGTGTTGCGTTTAGCTGTATGATAGCTGCCATCGGGATTATCTCTACAAGTAACAAGTAACAAGTAACAAGTTGCGCACTTGTGCGTAGTCCCATATACACCTTTCTGTGTACAGTGCTTGTAACTTTACCAAGACTGGGCCAAATTTCTTATCATTTTGATGATTCTAGAACCTTGCAGTCCCGGTGGGGTCACTAAATGTTATCTCTGAAACATGAGTATACAAAAATATGAGAATACTTAGTTTCTTTCATAATCCATTAATTTATTACTGATCATTCAACTGATGTATTAAAATATTAAAATATTTTGTTGTTATTACAGACTTTGGTTCTTCTGCTGTTTGATTCCTCTGTGTATTGATGCCTACAATTAGGATGCCGTTCATTAATATTAAGACTATAATTATCTGACATGTCTGACGAGTGACGGAATGTAAAGTCTCACTGTCACAATCTCATAGCATTAGGCTACAATTATGTAGACAGAAATAACTGTCTGACATGACATGGGTCATTTCTTTAAAGGTATAAAGACCAGTATTGGAAATGCCCCAATTTCAAAAAATGAAATGGAATCTGTTATTACCAATCATGTGAAAGAATATGTTTTGACTAATACATGATGATAACAGTCTTGCCAGGAAACCACCTACTAATTGATATAGTCTATTTGGTAAATTAGTTTATCTATTGGTATGTGAGAGATAAACGCACGTGTTGCGCACGTGTGCGTAGTCCCATACATCTTTCTGTGTACAGTGCTTGTAACTTTACCAAGACTGGGCCAAATGTCTTATCATTTTGATGATTCTAGAACCTTGCAGTCCCGGTGGGGTCACTAAAAGTGACTTGGGGACAGCATGACCATTACCAAAATCGCGGGAAAAGGGGTCAATTTCAAGCAATGTCCGCGGACAAAATATTCCTCGAAATATAGAAAATAGGGGTGCACAGGTGTCCTCAAAATTGATTAATAGGGGTCAGGAAAAGGGAAAAGAGAAAACTGGGAAGAAAAATTCTCTGAGCCGAGTCGAGTCAAAAAATAATAAATGTCTTGTCCTTGAAATATGGTAAAATAGGGGTAAATTTGCGAAAGTGTCTTTACAATCTTATAAATAAGGGTATTCCAAAGTACAATTTTGTCCTTGTTTTGACGTTAAAAAGGGGGTTAAATTTCACAAAATGTCCTTGAAATTGACCGCAAAAGCGGTCATACGTGTCACCCTCTGAGGGGGAGGGACCCCACCGGGCTTGCAGTACACACGTAACACACCAGTACTTATATGCTAGATGATCAACCTTTTCTGATCGATTCCACAACATTTCTTTCACAATGCAATCGCATGACCAGAACTGGTTTTTATCTTTAATAAAACTGACATTTGTTGACATTCCCCATAGAGCCTAGCCAGATGGAATCTCAGCGGAACAACCGTCGATATCAGAGACTGAAGCTTTCGATCTAACAATTATGGCACATATTTTGTATAATAAGCTACTAATATAATCTAACTGAGCTGAGCTGTGAGAACTTGTTTGCAAGAGACCTGCATATATATGGGCCGAGGCCCATATGTGTTTTAATTATATGCACGCTTCTTGAACAAAATTTTCACTTGACCACTCCAAAAATGCACATAGTAGGCCTATTGCCAGACATAGCAACAACAAATATATGCAAAGTGGATTCTATCTCTAAAAATATGCATATCATTAGTATGCTGATTAGATATAGTATAACCTGTCTAACCATTTCTTTGACTTGTCTTTTCAGTGCTTTTTCTGGGCTGATATCTTTTTACTTAAAGGTACATGTAGGCTATAATATAAAAAGTTTTGGGAAATTTTGAAAATTGGGACAATGATTCTTTACAATTTTTATATATTTGAATGCCCCTGTGGATGTATTATTATGATGTGAAAAACACATCATTGATTTGGAACACGTGATAAGCGTACTTAAGAAGATCCATACAAGGTACACAGTGTATATATCCCTCACTCGTTAACATGGTCATGTAAATTGTTGAAAAAGAGAACTGTCGACTTTCATGTAAATGAATTCTGTAAAATATAGTACCGATAATATCATTTTCCTGATTTATTCTGATGGAATATTATAGAAATTATTTTCATGACAATGTACTATAGTTCGAGGTCTATAGGTCTACTCTCCTGTGAAAATAAATAAATATATACTGGGTAGCAGAAAAGTATGAATAAAAATGAGAATGGGATGTATCAAGTCATTTTGTGGAAGTTCTCCGTGTTCAGTGTGACATCACATAAACTGCCAGTGGGAGATATCCCGTTACTGATCAGTACTGATTACTGAAGTTTTATTTTAATTTTTTTTTCCTGCTGATTTTAAAGGCCAGTTATGGTCATGCGATTGTATTGTGAAAGAAATGTTGTCGAATGAATCAGAAAAGGTTGATCATCTATAAGCATTGGTGTGTACTGCAAGGTTCTGGAATCATCAAAATGATAAGAAATTTGGCCCAGTCTTGGTAAAGTTACAAGCACTGTACACAGAAAGATGTACATGTATATGGGTCTACGCGACACGTGCGCACACATGCGCGATATCTATCAGGTCCAAATAGATATGATAATTTACCAAATAAATCAATTAGTAGGCGGTTTCTCTGCAAAATTTGTATCACGCATTAGTCAAAACACATTCTTTCACATGATTGGAAATAAGAGCTTCCATTTAATTTTTTGAAAGGGGGGGCGTTTCCAAAACTTGTCTTTATCTTTGAAATAGACCGATTTGTTTCTGTGATTATTCTATCTCCATTTAGGCCAATCTAATAAATGGATTTGGTATTCACTTAAAATTATTCAAGTGAGTTTCATGGAAATTCATTTATAATATATATTTTTTTCCTCATCTGCAGATCATGTCTGACTACCAAGGAGCTCCCCCACAATACCAAGGTATGGTAAAGAGTCTTTTTGTACGGGTATATTGAGGACCTGTCAGTGTCACTAGCTGATGACAGAATGGAATTTTGTTACAAACTGCCTACCGGTATAAGCTATTCTTTCATGTTGAGAAGTAACTAAAGGTCAGGGCGCGACAAACCCGCTTGCCCGACGTCCCGGGGCAACCAAATTGAGCCGTCGGGCAAGTAAATCAAATTATCACTTGCCCGATTCGGGCAAGTGATACTTTTACAGTAATTTCCTAGTGTCCAAGAACTCTACCATTCACCCGTCAACTTCTTACCCGTCGTCAAAATCCAGAAGCAAAAAAGCGATCGTTCCGATTTCGAAAAAACTTTACAGACAGCTAGCCAGCTCAGCTAGCTCAGCGCGCATGCAACAGTGACACTTCAAGCCATGAATGCCGCTCCGCCTCCACGCACGGCCGGCCGTGAGCTAGCTAGAGACAGCTAGCGCGATCGTACCAGCTGCGAGCTTATTCGCGCTCTCTCTCTCTAGCTCTGCAGGCTGCACCGACAGGCCTTTGCTATTCTCTGATTGCCGATTGGTTGAATCACGCCAAATATGACGTCATTATTCTAGGGAAATGAACACGTGCGAATCGGAATGGAATAAACAACAGGGATTTTCTAGTAAGTACAAAAAGTCAAATGTTTGATATTTATTCATAATGACTGTTAATGATTGTGAACATATTATTTAAAACTCGCTGCTCATATAAATCAGATGAATGTTTTTGTCTCGTTTTCAATTTATTACTGCGGTCTCAAGATCCGACCGAGCGAGTCATTTTGATAATAGTATCGAGACCCCCAGAATATAAGCCGTTGTTGTTTTGTTTTCATGGTTTTAGCGACGTTGTTTAGTCTAGTTTTCGCATACTTATCCGAGATTTATCGTAAAATATCTTCAATATTATTATTTAGTAAGAATTTACAAATTTTGGCATGATATTTATAGCAGTGAATGATGAAATAAAAATGTCCGTACTTTATTTAAAATAGTTGATTACCCATTATTTACATGACGTTTCTTGATGGAAGAGTTGACCCAAATTATTAACAGCTGAAAATTAGCCTACAATTCCAAATGACAGCGGCTTGCACAGACACACACGTGCGTTGATCAGCTGTTTTTTCTCGATTGTGCTAGTAAACATGGAGGCACCGCCAGCCAAGAAAGCGAACTACTTTTTCGCTTTAAAGTTTGGGCAAGTGGAAATATTGTTTGGGCAAGTAAATTGAAAACCCACTTGCCCGACAGGGCAAGTGGTGAAAAAAATTCTTGTAGCACCCTGAAGGTATCATGTCATTTAATAGTAAGAATATGTGTGTAATAGCAAATTCTAAGCAAAACACTATAGGCTGGAGGGGGGGGGGGGGGGGGTACGAGAGACGTATGCCAATCTGGATTGACACAAGTGAAGTTGATGTTTTGAAGGTTTGTTGGATCTATATGTATATATAGATGCCTTACTGACGAAAGAAGGATTAATAGCTAATCAATTTAAACTTGGGCTACATTTTCATCATTAATTCTGTCATTCATTGTCCTCAATTGACAAGGTTTTCATTTGATGTATTGCACAGAGAAGAGCCAAGGATCTGCAGGAGGAATGGAAGATACCCCTCCCCCTCCTTATGCACAAGGACCAGACCAGCCCAGCTACCCTGCAACCAATCCTGGCTATCCAATGCAGCCCCCTCCTGCATCAGGGTACACTGTCCAGCCCCCACCCACGGCCGGCTACCCAGTCCAACCCCCACCCGCTGCCGGCTACCCAATGCAACCTCCACCCGGTGCCGGCTATCCAATGCAACCCCCACCCGCTGCCGGCTACCCAGTGCAACCCCCACCCCCTGCCGGCTACACAGTGCAACCCCCACCAATGAACACAGCCTACACTTCTCAACCACAGGCAGTAGACCCCAACAATGTTGTGATTGTTAGTCAGGTCTGTAATGCAAAATAGTTCATTCTTGATGACATTTGTCCGATTAGGGAAGTTGATTAGAAGATGTTTTCTGTTTACAGAATCAAAGTTATTTTCCTTGTCAGATTTTTTCCTAAAAAGGATGGTAATGGTGTCTTAATTGAATGCTGCTTCATGGAATGATTAGCGGTGTCATGAGCCTTAGTTAGGTGAACGGAAGGGTTAATTGTGTCATGATTTGTTGTTCTAGGACTCTTGGTTTATTATGTTCAGGCATTTTTATCAATGAAGTGAACAATATAAATCATTGTTTGGAACAGCTTTCTACCTAATGGAGGGGGTCTCATTTTTAGTGCATTTTTAAAGTATGATTATTCCACAAGAGATATCTAGCTCATGCCTGGTATTTTGTACCTGTATGCTCTACCTTACTTAGGAAATCAAGAAAGAAAAATGAATGAAAAGTAGAGAGGGGGGAGGGGGGGGGGGGGGGGGGGGCTTATGTATGCGCATGTTGTCCCATTTTTTTTTTATAGATTTCTCATAAATGATGACCAGTTGATTAAATATTGGTCTTCGGCCTGAGGGTGGTTTACTAAAAAACCATGTAAGAAAAATTATTTAATAAGTCCTAATTAAACTTCTTTTTTCAATAATTTGTCCTATAAGTAAGAATGCAATATCAGTTTGTGTGGGTTACTTTGAATCAGTGTGCCATCGTGTTTGGTCAGGTGGTCGTGTACCAACCTTTTATGAAAACATGCCCTTTATTCATGAAATGTTGGGATAATGCGTGAGAAATTAACTCATCTTATCTACAAATGGTCTGGTCCAATTTATCCCACACTTTGTGAAAACCCTCCAGCAAATTTATGCAAAAGGAGGCGTCATCTTCCGCTTTTGTTTCACGGTCGTGCAGCAATAGTGCGACAACCCAACTGGATGCGATGGCCTGATGATTCTAAGTTAGCCGATCAGTTTGACTTTTAGTTGATACATAATTTCATTGTGACGCGTAAGTGACATTTTCTTCTCCTCTCTGCTGTATGCTAACCAGCCTGGTCTTGTGGTCCATCATAACCTGACCTTCCGGGATGCCCCTGTTGTTTGTGCCTGTCCTAACTGCCACAATCAGGTCACGTCTAACGTCCGGCGGGAGATAGGAGGACTCACTCTCCTCATCATGGGAGCTCTATGCATCTTTGGGTAAGTCTACATCTACTTTTAAAGCCCCACTGTACTACTTGTAGCTACTTGCTCCCTCTATATAGAAAACAATGCCTAATCAGTAACCATTGGTCCCCCATGATCCTCTTTTTCTTATGTTAATTGAGAGCTGATTTGATGAGATAGCCACCTGTCAATCCCTCACAGTCAAACTAGTACTGATGGCCTTTAAGTCAACTAGCTTTATGGTCTTGACATAGTCAGTGACCCGATTGCACAGTTGCTACTAGATAAATTGCTGTGTTTGGCAGCAAATATTTAAGAAGTAAGAGAAATGGTTGCCCATGTATGGGGACCTATAGACTTGCTCAGTAAATGTGATAAAATGTGATGCATTTAGGTGATAGTTTTTTTTTCCTTTTCAAAAGATTTGTTAGAGAAATGCATGAAAAACAAAATAGGAAAATAAAAGATCCTAATTGTACAAAATCAATATCAGTCAAAAATGGGTGCATGCTCAGCAAACACAAAGTTTCAGTTTGTGTCTGCCTTTTTTCGTTTTCTTTTGGAATTGTTATTTTATTAGATCCATGCCCCAAGCCCCGAACCAATACTGCTGGTTACCTTTTTGATTTAATTGTCTCAGAATAGTTCATTTTAATAAGTCGAGGTTATATGGTGCTGTGGCTATGTTATCTCTGAAACATGAGTATACAAAAATATGAGAATACTTAGTTTCTTTCATAATCCATTCATTTATTACTGATCATTCAGCTGATGTATTAACACACAGTATAATATTTTGTTGTTATTACAGACTTTGGTTCTTCTGCTGTTTGATTCCTCTGTGCATTGATGCCTGCAAGGATGCCGTCCATACCTGTCCTGTGTGTAAACATCAATTAGGCCGCTGGAGTCAGCTTTAGGTCCAGGACCAAAAACCAGTCCCAATAATAAGACCTGTGTGTAAACATCAGTTAGACCACTGGAGTCAGCTTTAGGTCCAGGACCAAAAACCAGTCCCAATAATAAGACCTGTGTGTAAACATCAGTTAGACCACTGGAGTCAGCTTTAGGTCCAGGACCAAAAACCAGTCCCAATAATAAGACCTGTGTGTAAACATCAGTTAGGCTGCTGGAGTCAGCTTTAGCTCCAGGACCAAAAACCAGTCCCAATAATAAGACCTGTGTGTAAACATCAGTTAGGCCGCTGGAGTCAGCTTTAGCTCCAGGACCAAGAACCAGTCCTGATAATAAGCCCTGCGTGTAACCATCAGTTAGGCCGCTGGAGTCTGCTTTAGGTTCAGGACCAAGAACCAATCCAGCATTGAGCCTTGCATGTGTGTAACCATCAGTTAGACTGCTGGAGTCAGCTTTAGGTCCCGGACCAAGAACCAGTCCAGCATTAGGCCATCAGTTAGGCTGCCTGACTCAGTTTTAGATCCAGGACCAAGAACCAGTCCCAACAATAAGCCCTGCGCGTAACCATCAGTTCTGTGGCTGAAAATGCAGCTCCACTGCCCATGTCCCTAAACAAATCATTTTTACACTTTGTACATATATATTATCTACTACTACTAAAGAGGAGCTTCATATCTGTTTTTAGGATAAGAAGTTGATCTATGAAACCGTATTTATCACAATTATTATCACAATATAGTATTACACCAAATAGCATTATATCTAGAATGGTTTTATTTGTATTTTTCTCTGTTTTATTATGTCTGTTTTTATATTTTTTAGATTGTGTATTGTGTATATATCGTTCTTTATTTGCTTTGTGAAAGGTCTTTCAATATAATTATTTAGCTGATGTATAATCTTCTTTAAGGCAATGTAGCAAATCCTGTGGCACATTAATACTGAAGGACTGTATCCTGCCCATCTACAGTCGTGTAGATCCAGGATCTATCTAGCTAGACATGATAGACATGTAACATAGCATAGGTAGCAGTTTGGATTTGGGTATAGTACTAGCTTCAGTCTGAAGAAGTACATATAAGACACAAAGCTCATTCCATCTAGATATTGTTATAATCTTCACGCAATATTCTTGCATTTATGTAATTCAAAAAAACTTTGTTTATGTTTTTTTCACTGCTAGTACTACTCTGTGTGCACTCTGCGTTGGATATCTTTGTAGGTTTTATTGAAATAGAAGAGATCAACGTAATAGGACCAAATACAAATGATATATTCAAGGTTAGAAAAAGGACCATATTAAGGTTCAAAGTATGTAAATTAATGTACAATATCATGTATTTAATACCCTTTCATATTATTATTACTCAGAGGTTATTATAATCATACAGCAAATATGAACAAATATGCAATATTTACATCTGCCCTTTGGAGAGGCTTACACAGCTGCATGTGTTTTATCACTGGTTACAGGGAGTGATAGGGTTAACCTTTCAATGTAGTTTTAATTGTTATTTTAGATTTATACATATCCTTGTATTTTGTATGATTAATATATAATTTAAATAATATTTATAAATAAAATAAATTTAAATAATAATGTGTGCATGTTAAAGGTAATGCAAAGTTTTGGGAAATTTTGAAAATTGGGTGGATAGTGATTCTTTACAATTTTGATATATTTGGATGCCCCTATGGATTTTTAAGCACTAGAAATTTTAGCTCCTAAAACATTTCTGCTTTCAAGAAAAATTGAATATTAAAATTTACAGGTGCTCCCAGTAAATTTTGATAAATTTCAAATAGCGCCTACAGCCGTACAATAGTAGCTGTGACAATGAAAATCTCAGAATATGTAGATATGATATATAATTTCCAAACGGGAAAAGCTAATCGGTCAATTTTGGTCGAGAAACATTGTTTTATAGCTTAATTAATATCTTGACCTTGAGAGGGAGCTATACAACATAAAGAGTTTATAATTTACAATTTCATAACTTTAGACTCTAGTTGAACCGCGACAACGATCACTGCATATTGTAGGATTGCTTATGCCTCCATATGTTCATTTGAACCAAATTCATGACCCCATACCAAAACTTTGTATTACCTTTAATATTGAATTTTACTTACTGGTATGTGATTCACATCCCATAGGAATTATATATTATAATGGGGATGAGAGGAATTAGTTAAATACAGCACTATTTACTCAAAGTATTGGTAAACAAAAGTTGTGACCAGTATAAATTTTCATTTAGACAATATTTATCTTTGCAGATTGGCAATGTCTCTGAGAAAAAAAAAAAAATAATAATGATAAATAATATTTCGCTTTTATATAGCGCTTAGATGTTTCTAAGCGCTTTACAGATGTACTATCAAAACAGACCATAACAAAAAACAGCATGGCAATGTGAGCATAGTTGAGTGCATTTTTTCATTCATCTCAATATAATCCAACCAGACAATAGAAAGTTATCTTTTTAATTAAGAGGTTTTATTTCTTGAAAGCAGAAGAGTAAATTAATTCAGAACAAATATGTCTGTATTGATTGTACAGTTGGCACTAAGTTCATCATCTTATTCTGCCTTAGGAATACTGTAGTACCGGAGGTGCAAGCTGAAATTGTGTGTAAGAAATATTGTTTATAGAGGCTGTACTTATTTCATTATGCTGAAGGTATATGCAAATGAACACCATGTAGTTTGGATTTCAAGCAACTTGTACCAGTACCGTCTGAACTCACATACATTTATTTTTTATGACATATTTATGTTCATAATAAAATATGCCTTAACACCAAGTCTTCCTCATAGTGCTAGAGTTTGGTCATTGTGGTGCTGTGCCTTCGTATGGGTAATAGCGGGTGTATGAATAGATATCTGACTATGCTTAATGTATCTGAATTGACCAGAACTATTAATGGATATTGTTTAACAATCTATAATACTGAGATGTTTGAACAAAATAACAAAACTCCAAATAGCCTTAAATTATCTCTGTGCTCTATACTCTAACCTAACCCTTACCCCGCCATGGGGGAAAACAGGAGAAGGAGAGGGAGAGAGAGAGAGGGGGGAGGGGGGACCATTCTCTGATTTAAAGCCATCTTGAGTTATGGGAAGGACAGAATATAAATGTCACCATGAAATCTGGACAACTACTTTATGTCTGCCAAAACTATTTTGGTAAATAATGTACCGGTATATGAGTTGAGAAATGAACAAAGAGTAATATAGTACTGGTAGTCTTTTTGAGTGAATTGTACAACAATAGATTAAGAGAAGAGTCAGAAGACCATATCTATGAAACAGAGTTAACTCTAAACAAGACTTTATTAAAAACATTTCCTTCTTTTACGGTTAAAGAAAAACTTGGATTCCTAATGTGAAGCACATAAATAAGTATTAGGCCTTTTCTATTATACACAAAACAAATTACATTTACACTTCATAATTTAGGAAATATAAAATTCTTATATACATACAATTGTACACATTTACAATAGCAATGACATATGTATATGCAAGTTGAGGAATATTTTTAGCCCTCGTAAAGAACATGTCTGGCAGAAAAAAGAAACAACAACTGTTTGTAGAAAGGAAATAATAAAATAATATTTAAAGGTAAAGACCAGTATTGGAAACGCCCCAATTTCAAAAAATGAAATGGAAGCTCTCATTACCAATCATGTGAAAGAATATGTTTTGACTAATACATGATGATAAAAAAATTTCTTATCATTTTGATGATTCCAGAACCTTGCAGATGCTAGATGCTAGATGATCAACCTTTTCTGATCGATTCCACAACGTTTCTTTCACAATGCAATCGCATGACCATAACTGGTCTTTAACTTTAATTTTTATAGTGCTTATTACAAATGTCTCTAAGGACTGCATTGAGGAACCAGTACTTGTACATCTGCTGTTTGGGAAGGGAAATTTAGCAAGAACAGTTGAAAACAGGAGCAGAATGATGGCTATTGCACCGCCTTCCTCTCTGTCTAAAAACAATGGCTTGCTAATGAGCAATACAAATAGGTTAAGAAGAGAGAGATTTATGAAGATCACTTGGCAAAGTACTTAAGAAATTACAAGAATTGAAAAAGGGCAATGATTTGCATTCGTACATGTATATGAGAGCATGCAACCTTTGCAACATTTCTACAGTTTAAAGAAAACTGAGCAGCAGTGACATGACACTGCCTTATCAGGGGAAACTCAGGAAAGGTTGGATATTCATTGAATCTCATGTGGTAATGGACATATTATGTGTCTGTAGAAGTCCAGTTCCTTTGACTGAAGAAACGTGCTAAACATACTTTCAGCGACCACATGTGATGCTAATTCTATTTAGCTACTTCCTTCAGATGATTAAAACTTAAAAGGGTCATTAAAATAAAGACAAGAGAGAGAGAGATAGAGAGAGAGAGAGAGAGAGAGAGAGAGAGAGAGAGAGAGAGAGAGAGAGAGAGAGAGAGCAGGTGTATTGATACTATTCTTGTGAAGAAGCTGAAGACATTTATTTATAGACGGTAAGACTTGTGAGGAGCTGCCAGCTTCTTCACAAGAAAGTACCCTACAGTGAGCTCAAAATAAAGAGACACACAATTACTTCAGAGATTGAATTTCGTGCATATCTGCCCCCATGGAGGACCATATCATAGCTTTGACTTTTGCCTTTATATTACCAACATATCGTCCTTGTTTTCATGAAGTGACGGTAGTGAGGAAAATCGTAACACAAAGTGAATGCAATTTTTTTTCACTACCGTCACTTCGTGAAAACAGCGACGATATGTTCAGCCACTGTTTTTGTCTCAATTAATCTGTTTTTTTTTATTGTCGTGCAATCACGTATAGTTGTCTTGAATTACGTTCAAATACTTCTTGAATGAACCAAGAACTTGCATTTCCTTCTGGAACCATGAGAACCATCAGTAAAATGAATGTAAAATTATATAAATACAAATGATTACACAAAATTACCCTTAAGGATCTGGAGGAGATGATAAACAGAAGATCTGAACATCTAATATATGCTGTAATTGACAGTGAGCCTAGACACACTAGAAATACAGCACATTATATCTTTAAGTAACACTTTAAAAGTAATTTCACTGAATCAGAATCTCTACAAGTCTGCAAAATCACAGGAAAAAAATGACCCTCTCCCCAATGCCAGCAATCACAGAGTTGAAGGACTGCAATAGCTCCTCGCTGCAAGAAATTAAAATAGAGTTGACACCATCATCAAACTTTGAAGAGTTGGTGAACATATTTCTGAAGTTTCACACCTTAACTGGGCTATTTCAGACCAGGTTTTTACTGGGGGGGGGGGGGTCAATTTGACCCCCCCCCCCCCTCTAAGATCTCGGTCGTTTAAACGGCCGATCACCGCGAAAATTTGCATACATGTCAAGTGAAGTGTATAGAATACAATGGTAATTTCAATTTTTCGAAAAATTCACTCATTTGCATATTTATGGTAATTTACGCAAATAAGATCATAAAATTCACATTTTTGGTCTTTAATCATACATTATTCATATTTAAGCATTCTTTTTCACTACATATATTTGTTAGACCATTTGGAATAATAATACAACACAAAAAATTGGAAGAGCCAGGTTATTCCTATGTTATCTCTTGTTTTGATAATTTCTTATGTATTTCATTGTTTTTTAACTTATGTATTTTATTATTTTTGTTGATTTTGTTGTTTTATTTCATTTATAACTACAATTCAACTATTTTGACCCCAAAACAAACACCCAAACTTTAAACAAGACTAAATAACCAATGTTTGATCTCTTTTAAGGAAAAATGACATTTCCATATGTTTTGTACACAAATCACAAAAATGAGCGATTTTCGGGCTGACATGCGAAGACAAAAGGTCATGTGACTTTGTAACTATACGTCCGATTTTCGATAAAATTGTTTTAAAAGATGCGTAAGACTCAAAAGAAAAAAGTCATGAAAGGAAAATTTTATATCTGCCGCGGTTTCGGAGAAGTCGTGAAATTTCGACAGGGGGGGGGGGGTCAAATTGACCCCCCCCCCCAGTTAACGTAGGGTTAAGGGTACAGTTGCACTTTCCTTAGCATACTTGAGTTACAGTTGAAAATATCCTTGGCTTCTTGAAGAGATGAGGATGAGTTCCAATACCTGAATCACTGTGGGGCATTGGGCAACTGACTTGAGGCACATCAATAAGTATACTGGTTTTGCACAGTCTTTCACAGTTCAACCTTGTTAGAGGCTCTTCACAAACTGATATGAGCGTCTTGTAGACTGGATAAGGAGGGGGCTTATACCATTCTTAAATCCTGCAGCTATCTCCGTCATCTCAACAAGACGTCTTGCAAGGGACTCCCTCTGTTCTTGTGTCTGATTGGGCAGAATAAAATAAAAATGAAGCATTGGTTTCATTCTGTATTGTTCAAGCTGTAGCTTAAGGATAGTACTCTGCTCAGCTGATTACGACCTTATCTGACATGTTACAGTTTGTCCAAACTGCTGTTGAATCTGTTTATCAAGCTTCTTTTGACAGCCCCAGCCTGAGTAGATGAATTACTGGCAGTGTTTCTCTATCATCTTAATGCCAATATCTCCATTCCAATATCATATCTATAACCAAATGCAGGGCTCCACACTGAATTAACTTATTTTTAACGGAGGGTTTAGATTAATAGTTTAGAGTATGTTTGTAATTAGGCCTCTTGTTTAAACTGCACACTTTTGAAGGTCCAGAGCTTCAATTTGGGGGCCCTAAGAACTGTAAGTGTCATATATTGCCAATTGACCATGTCCCAAAGGGGGGGGGGGGGAGAAGTTTTAAAACAAAGCAGGCAATATAAAAATAAAAAACCCTTACTGACTGTGAATAATTGTATTGGTCACAAAATAATAAGCTGACACTTCATAGAGAAAAAGGGAAAGATATAGTTAAAACATAAAGATAGGCTTGATCCAAACAGAACTTTGTGTATATGTGTTTGAGCCCTCTCATAAATGGTCATTTTCACAGTAAAGGGTGTAACTTTTCTCAAACAGGGTCAAAATTTCAAAATATGTTTTCATAATCATTTCTACTAAAATTAGTACTATAAGTGTCTAAATTATGGATTTTTTTTGGTTCTGGAGCTTAAACTACATGAGAAACCTGGAAAAATAATGAACAACTGTGACAAATATGATAAATTTGAACAAAAACAACATTTTAATTCTATCAACTTAAATGACAACATTTGTTCTCCAAACATAATTCAATTGCAATTTTTCATTTGCTATTCTAATGTACTTAAAGGCTTATAAAGCTTTTTTGGTCAAACTTATTTGGTCTTTAAAAAAATTCAATGCGTTTGTCAAATTCAAGATAAAATATGACTTTGACATTTAATTTTTCAAATTTACCTATCTTCCAAGAGGGGGAGCAAAATAAAAATTACTCTACAAATACCATTCAGTGAGGGCTAATTACCATGCAAATTCCAAAGAAATCGCATTTCAAATGAGGAAGTTGAAAATTTCTTATGTGTGTGTTTCGGAGGCTTCAGGTTAACAAAATGCCTGTTTCGGAGGCTTCAATCATGTTAACATAAAATGTTGTCCATTACTTAGGTAACATATTAAGAAAAATTCAACTTAAAACTGTTAATGATATGGTAAATTACTAATATAACACCTAAAACATTTGTTTAGAGAGTAAAAATACTTGTTAATATAAAGTACGGTACATGTATGTTACAAATTATCTTTACTTAATACGATGAGTTTTATGTTCAGTACACAAACATTGCAAAGTCACTTAATAGAATCCATGAGGATTTCAAATCTGTGCTGATACTCAGGGAATATATTGTCAAGTATGTAATTTCCAAGGAAATCACTTTTCTCATATCAAAGTTGAAACATTCAGGAAACATATACATGTATAGGATCAGTTCAAAGAAGTGTTTCGGAGGCTTCAAACATGTTAACACACTATATTGTCAACTACAAAGGCAATATACAAAGCGAAATTTAACCTTACTTTTGAAGGTTTGATGAAATCTTGAACTGTAAGTAAAGTACTTAAAATAATTGTTCACATAGAAACCATTTATGTTAATTCATAGCAATGTACCACTACCCTTCACTTGCGTCTTTGTCATCATTTATTCTTAGTGCAAAGAATTAAATTTCCGCACAGTGGCTTCCACGAACTTGTTTGTTATGTGTTTACATTTACACAGACATTCATATATTTGAAACCAATAGCATGGTAAGTATTTACAGGTTTTTGTCCTGGAACACAATTGTGATCTACTTCTTATTTCAAAGAAATTTATCTGCCAACATGTCCAGTTCTCCTTCTTAAAAATTATAAAGGTAAGCTCTGCCTGCTGGGGTAGGGGTCCTGGTTGGTAGAGTCATCTTCTGTATTACCGGTACATCTTTTTTAGGCTGATGGGCTTCACAGTCCTCTGTAAATTCATACAGACCATTGCTGTTCTGGCGCATGAATTTGACTTTGACATTGTCATCAATCAAAGCCTTTACCTACAGTGTAGTAGCAAAATAAGAATATAGTAAATACAAACTTTCATTAAAACACAGATAAACAGCTTTCAGAATCCATTTCACTTCCTTGAAATATCTCACAGTCCCTTATTTTAATTCACCCTCTTAACTTTGTTCAGTACCACAACACCTGCTCATATACATTTTAGAAAAATCTTTTTGTCTAAGTATTTCTCAAATAAAGAAAGTCGATCCTGTTAAATGTTTTTTTAATAATCTGAGATCTAACATGGGTAATTAATACTTACAGGAGCCATGAAAACCACCCCACTTGTAATCCTGCTGCTAGATGAAGGTGCATCAAAATATATGGCAACATAATCGCTCACATTTGATGCTGCAATTGGAGAAGAAAATAGGAAATTAGCAGTTTGTACTGCACAGAACAATGTTCATACATATATCTGAGCTTGGACACTAAAAAACAATAAATTTGTTTGATTTTAAAAGTACATCTTGAACGTATATTTGCATAGTGCATCACAATCACATAATATTTTATTATTTATCCATGTGTTTTTTAAGAACTAGTTCAGTAGTCTATATGGGCACCATCACTAAGGATGCTTAATGTGTACATTGCACAAATCTTAATTACTAATTACTAATTAATGACAGACTTGTTTTAATCTGTTTTGCCCATGGATTTGCAGGAATAACCTGTTCAAAATTGTAATATGTACAAGGATTTCATTCATTGTTACTGGTTTACCATTGTGCATAGTCATAGACCTGTATATTGTACACACATGTATATCAGAAGTCTAATTTAAACATTTGGTACTGAGGCAAACCTTAAAAGTCAGGTGACATCCAAATATAAATTGATTCATGTTTATGTGCAGGGCGGCATACAGCTCATAATTTGTTATAAATATATTTCATAGATTTTAAAATATTTTACAATAATTTTCTTAGACCTGCTAAGCTCCACCTAAATAAATATTCCAGATCTCATTCATCTATCTGTTAATCATTAGTGAGCTAACAAGAGAAATTGGTATGTAACTTTCTCCAGCTCAGCACATGCTCACAAATACCTCCACATTACCTTTCTTTTCCTGGTGATGCTACACCACTTCTGACATAGCAACTCATATGTTGGTATTGTATGGTCTATTGTAAACAAGTGATCAGCTCTGGTTAAGCTATTATACATACCACTGTCTCTTGTTAGCTCACTAATGATTTACAGATGATGTCACAAAATGAATGAGATTTGGAGCATTTTTTTTTAGGCTGCACATCAACAGGAATCAAACTATATTTGGATGTCACCTGACCTTTACAACAACAAAAAATGAGTATGATAAAGGTACATGTACAATGTACAATACAGATCTTAACTAGGCCTCACTATATTTTTAGTGACAAATCTAAACTTTAAAAACTTTCACACATCAGTTCCATTACAATGACACATTAAAAAAAGTACAAGTAAAGAAATTAAAGGACACAATATACAGTTCTTACCTCTATATTCTTGTGCATAACAGTAAGGAAATGAGAGAACTGTCTGCAGTGTTCATGCCTGTCTGGAAGAGATGCTAACTACATGTAGTATCAGATGTTGCTAGCACATGTTGCTGTAACCTTGTCAATATCTTCAAGATCTTCATGGTCTATTAATTCGAGTCCTGCCGCGGCACTAATGTCCTTTGGCAAGACATTAATCTACATTTGCCACACTTGACCCAGGTGAGGTAAATTGGCTACCTGGCAGGAATTAATTCCTTGAAATGCTTAAGCGCCGTAATGGAAGCCATGCTAAAGCCGGGGTAATAATTTTCAAATTTGGAAGCGCATAGAGACGTTCAATATGTGCTATAAAAGAACCGAATATTATTATATTCCATTGTCTTAAAAGGGGTTGTACACACTGCTTCCCTAACAATTCTAGAGGGTTCTTTACCCACCAAATTTCTCTCCTACTGTTACAAATGGTTTTTGGATGGCATGGCCTATGCCATTTGATCCTAAGGGGTTGGCAAAGAGCATAATACATGTGGTTAACACCAAATGAAGCCTCCGAAACAAATTGGATAAATGTTAAGGATGTCTTATAATTTGGGAAAATATAGTGATTCATTTTGATATTTTATATATTAAAATATTCATTAAACTTGGAAGATTTATATGTATCAACTTTTTTTATTATTTGGTAAATGATTCTTACATTATCAAGGTTTGAAACGGGTGAATACTCCTAGCACTGGTGTAAAATTTCTTTCTGAAATGCTGACTATTGTAAATCGTTAAAAATATAAAAATCCAATAACATCTAACACATTCCTGTACTTTATTAGACCAAAACCAAACATAAAATAGGAAAACTGTAAACATTCCCCTATCTATAAAATCACAATAGCAAAAAATATGGTGTTAACTACAGTTTGAAGCCTCCGAAACAAGTTTTTTTGGTTATTAGTAAGTCTTGAAAAAAATTAACTGGATATCTATTTACTTTCAACTTCAAGGGAGCCTGCACATCCTAACATATGATTGCCATGCAGATTTAACATGAAACACATCGGTCTAGGTATTTAAAAAATGAAAAATAATCTTTTTGCTGTTTCGGAGGCTTCAAGTGTTTCGGAGGCTTCAAGTGCTAACGGAAAGTTTGTAATGTCTATTATTTTCTAATAGTTGGGAATATCTAAGCTGTTTATTGACAAGTGACTTAGGGGTCCTTATGCTACATTTTGATGTAATAATTGGATAAATTCCTACATTCATATTTGTACAAGCTGTCCGAATAGTTTGTTTCGGAGGCTTCAAATCAGCTAACGGAAAATTGGGTCGACTCAGTCAAACTTTTAAAAAATTCTTACAAGCAACATGCTCAGAAAAATTTTGTCATTAGTTGGAAGTATAGATATCAAGTGTTATATCAAGAACAAAAGAAATGATAGAAAGCACTTTTCAAACCAGAGCTCTTCACATGAAGTTTGTTAACTATTGTTAACGGAAAATGAAGTCTCCGAAACGACAAATTACAACACTCTGTTCTCAAAAATAGATGAGCCGTTACAGTTTAAACTTCTTTGGCACTTTTCATTGAACATCTAACTTCACATTCTGCATAACAAAAACAATCCTCACTGTTCCTGAAAAAAATGCAGGGCTTTACAAAAATGTCTATGTATTTTGTGTACACCAAAAGGGTCACATTTAGGGTACTTATGTGCCTGCCAAAATTTAACGAAGTAATCCCTGAAGATGTCTATGCTACCCAAGGTAGCACCCAAGTAGGTTAGTCATATGCCAAAATATCTTTGAATTCTGTAGCTTTATGAGATCACTAGAGATAAAAATGTTCAAATTTCAGAGTTACACCCTTTACTGTGAAAATGACCATTGAGATTTTCAGCATTTTTTTCCTTCAAGTTAGCAAAAAAACAAAATAACTTTCTGATAAACAAGTATTCCATTTAGTTTATGTGTTGGGACAAATGGGAGAGTTGCCCCTACTTGTGTCACTATGACATGTCGATTAAAAACTCCTATGAACAATGATATTAAACTTAAAACATGGCACCTTGCTATCAGTATCAAGGTCAAGGATGAGTGAATGCTTACCTCTAGATCTCCACAGATCAGTGGTGAATCATATGCATCACATAGAGCTAGAATGTCTCCTAAATCAGCACATTGTGTCTTCTCACTGGGGGCATTAAGAGCTAGAAAACAAACCCTCCCAAGGAAGTACGTAGGATCTAAATGTGGCAATGAATCGGCAACAGTCTTCAGGCTAAAAGACAAAGACACAATACAAAGTAACTTCTATAAATCAATAGGAAATTTAAAAATGAATATTGTAACACAACTTTTAAAGGAGAATGTGATCACAGGTCAAGATGAGCATTTATTTATGAGTCAACTCTTATGTCTGATGTGGAATACCATAACAGCACTATTACATGAGATGTATTGTTCTTGAAATGTTCTTGTATAAAAACTTTATAAAAAAAAAGTTATCCCTTTGGCCATAGTTTAAAATCATTTTTGTTCTGTAAATTCAGCATCATTTAATCATTTTATCATGATTGTAATGATTCCAAAATCGCATTAAAAAAAACACACACACAATTTCCCTTTCCCTTATTAATCAACCATTCATAGTTAGTGCAAGACAAATGCAACCTAACTCTAACGGATTATCCCTAATAGACCAGAGTTAATCTTGATTTTCTTATTATATTGGTTAATAACACATTGATCCATCATAGTGCCATTCAAAACAAAAATCAACATTCTTTTTAAGTAGTTACTAATATCATTCTTGCCTTCTCTGTAAACAATTTAGAAATTCAGCCCAATAATAAGATAAAAGGCAATGGAAAACCACTCTTGAAACCTAGCAGCAAACTTTGTGTGCATCCACCAAGAGTCTTACATACTCACCTCATATTGACATTTACATCAAGGATGAAGACAATCAGGTCAATCTTAGGTCTCTGCTCATCATTAATGGATGGGAGCGGCAGCTGGGTAGCAGTACGGCTAAGGAAATCAATAAAAAAAAAGCTCTATTTATATTATTGTTATTCTATTCAATATAAGCTAATTGGTTTACTGGCAAAATTATAGATGGCTAGAACTACGGTACATGTACTGTAGGTAGTGTACAACAATGTGGGTCTGAGCAAACATTCTGGGTCTTCAGCCAGTCAATGCTCAGTGGCTTTGGTTAACAATGACATTATAGTGGATAGAAATAAAGTTATGGATTTCAAGTACCTTTCATTCATCAATAAAAAATGTATAAACACAACTCTCAGCTTAACACCAGGGAAGGAATATGAGAATTAACAGGATGACTCATAGAAAAATGTGAGGTAAAAAAAGAGGCACAGATGAGATAATCAGATGAGTAAACTAGCCATTTGTTGTTTCTTGTTGCTATTTAAATGATGTTATTATTGAGCTGACAGAAACAAAAACTCACATCAATAACTGTTATCAATTAACATTGATTGCTCTCCTTCTAAAATATATGGTCAAGCATTGTAGTTACAAAATATAAGAAAAAATGTCATAATTTAGTGATATCTTTGAAATAATCCCTCTCTAACATAGTGCACTTAACTTAAAAGAACATGAATATTGTTGCAAGTATTAACGTGACAGGAGTTTCCTTCGATTAATTCACATCTGTATATCATTGTCAACTAACTCAGGATGGGAGATTGGAGTATAAACTTGTTTAAATCTAGTGTCAGACATTGAAAAAACTTGATGAGAATTCAGATGACTCAATCATTTACAGTGAATCGATGTTAAAGCATCAAATATTCAGGTCTTTCAAATGAAATTGCCAAGATCACAATGAATTAATACATCTGGATGGATACCAGTATTCTTCTTTGATATTGTGAAAAATGAGATCACCGCTGTCTTTTGAATGTATTTCTCTTCGCATATAAACTTACACTTGAAGGCAGAATTCAGTGTTGAGTGCCACCATGGCTTCAGCCAACTCTTTCTTCTTGATAGACTGGAATCCTATCAGCTGAAAAGTAACATTTTAACATGATTAAGATTTGGTTTTCATTTTAAACTAGTGGTGCAGTTTAATGAATTAGTGACACAGTCCCACATACATTGACCTATAGGTCTGGTCTGGTCTCACAAGAATCTCGGAGTAGTCATTGGACCAAACCTATGTGGGAATGTGTATAGTGTGTGACAAATATAATTCACTTCTGCACTACCTAGTTCAGAATGAACACTACAATCAATGGAAGCATGTATTAATTTCTTTACATTTGTTTGACTTAGCCTGGTTCTTTCAGGGACTCTTCAACTATTAATCTGCTAGAAATTTGGGTCTTCTAAGTTGAAAGTGAAATTTTATTCCTCCCCTATCAACTCGCACTCAACATCAATTACAATTAGTTCCTCCTCATCTCGTGGCCGTCGTCATCACAAATCTCATCCTCCTTGGAGTTAACGACGACGCACCCATAACTGCTCAGGCCCTGGATTATCATGCTGCATCCCTAACATTCATCTTAGATATGCACATTAAACATTCTGTTGTGAACAAAGCAGCTCCTGCATAAGCTGTCATCTTCACGTCTTGCGATCTTTGATATTATGTACCCAGTTTTGTATTGTCTCTACTATCTATTTACTCATTCTGCGAAGGATACACTCCGCAGTTCTCCAATCCTGGAGGGAACCAAGAAGAAGAAGAAGAAGAAGAAGGTGGCTAATAACTATACACACAATAATAATAATATAGATCTAGGCGTCAATTCTATACTGTAGAAGCACGATTTTTACTTGCACATCACTTTTTATTGTACATGTAGGCCTATAGTCTGAAGTCAGTCCTAGATCCTACTATACACAAGGTCTAACTGAAAACAGAATTGACTCAGCAGAGCCAGGGACAGGGCCGGGTTGAGTTTTCAATTTCCTTTTTCACTTTTTCTACTTTTCTGTGTGTAAATTTATCATTTTATGCAATATCATATGCTCACTCTAAATAACTGGCCTAGACTTTCTTTCTAGGTCGATCTAGATCTAGATTGCTAAGAGAGTAGGGCCCTATAGTTATACCAATTAGCAAACACACAAGATTCACTGTAGGCCTAATAATATTAATAAATCACCTGATTTCAAGAAAGTAGTCTAGACCTATCTAGGGTCTATGGACCTCAGTCAGGTTCATAAACAAAAATAGTACTAAAAACACTAATTTCGAATTTTCGATGTGCAAAGCCAAGCAGGGCCTCATGGAAGACCAACTTTTTGTTGAATGGGCTACCCTGGTGAAATATAAATAAATAAATAAATAAAAATAAAGTGCCAAAGCCAGTATTATCAATATCAACAACACAAAAGTCAATGTGTGGGACAATTCAAATTACTTAGAATGATATTGGTGCTTTATTGGAAGGTAAAGGAAGGCTTTCCAACATATGTTGAGTTAAGAAAAGAAATCTCATTGATGCTTACCAACACAACGGCTGAATTCAACTCCGGGAGCTTATTAAAAGGATGTAAAACGGGTTGTTTAGCACCTAAAATTGTCTCCATTTTCGACTCCAATGTAAGTTTTGTATTTCGCGCAAAGATGTGTAGCGCCCCCATGAGTTTGTGGAATCGAAATATGCGATACTATGGATTTTTTTTTATGGATGCAGCAGTTGGGCAATCGATTCCCTGTTTCATAAAACTTTCTATGAATGAAAACTGCCACAAATCTCTAACAAATCTGATCATAGCAAATCAAATGTAAAATATTTAGTAGCTTATCACAGTTACCGTATCTTATTACTGATAACAATTTTTTATGAAACAAGACCCAGGTTTAATTATTGGAGCCAGAAAGTCGGCTGTATTGATTGTGAACGCCAAGCTCCTGATTTTATACTATACAACAAGTAAATATCTAGGGCAATGCACATTTGAGATATTTGAGATATATATCTCAGTCATAAGTTCCTACAAACAATTAAGTATTGTTGAGTCGGTTTCAGATCTGACTAGAGTTTCACTGATTAATAATTAGGAAGCCATGACGAAATAAATGCAATCATCAATAATCCATCTAGGATATTGATTATTGTTATCGATTTGTAATTCCTGAATGCTGCATGTAGATCCACTCAGTGCTGTCCAATGTCTGCATGATTTGTATAGAACGCCAAAATAAAACAGACAACATACACTTTTTTTGGGAATATATGCCCTGGATTTCCCCGCGTCATTGAGAGAATTTCTATTACCTTTGTGCATTCGTCTAGACATGATGATGAATGCTATAAACGTGACAGGGCCAACGTGACTGGGCCTTTATAAAAGCGATCAAGCATTTCATTAAAACTGAAAATCTGAATGGAATCATGCACTTTGGGGGATCTTATAACAGCTCTACATGAATGCATACAGAGTTTGAGTCCTTGTCTGGGAGGCCGGTTTGCGTGTTTCATTAGTTCATTTTCTTTTTATATTCAAATAATATGTACATGCATTGATGGTAGTTTCAACAAAACTAATGGGAAAGAATACAAATCCCTAACATAGATCAGGCCGTAACTAGGATTTGAGAAGATGGAGGGGGTTGTCCCCCTGTCCCATGGTTGGACAACCTTTGGCATTATTCTGTCTAAAAATGAAGTTTTAGTTACAATTTTGAACACCAAAACGGTTTCAGTAATATTTCTCATTCAGTGTTTGGTATAACCTAGTGTCGCTACGGGAGAGGGGGGGGGGGGGGGGGGGGGGGGGGGGGGCGAAGAATGGATCCAGGGTTTAAAAACGCGTCGTGTCACCTTCTTTTCTCCCTTTCTCCCCCTCTCTCTCTATCTCTCTCTCTCTCTCTCTCTCACTCTCTCTCTTTCTCTCTCTCTTTTCTCTCTCTCTCTCTCTCTCTGAATATATTATTCTTTGCAATTCAAACATGTGTGGGGAGGGGGGGGGGGGGGTGCAGGTGACTCAACTCCCCTGTGTTTTCCTCAATTGAAAGAGGGCACAATCGTGTCAGTGTTAGAGGAGGAACAGTGGATGCAAGATGCATCAATTAACTATGTTTCATATTGCACTGGTATAAATTGATAATAATAATAATAATATGGTTTGTTTTCCCAGGGTAGACTCATCAGTATTCATACTGTTCTCCCTGAGGGCCCTGCAATCATATCAAATTCGATAATACACCGGTTCCAAAGATAAGTTTCTCATAGATCTATGATATAAAGCTAAATAAAGAGGGTATTCTAGATGGGACACTGGTAGAACAATCCGTATGATGCATATCAAACTGTGTCAAGTTTATTAAAATTAAAGAATGATAGTTTAAATGTATAGATGTCTCATCATCTGGGAATGTCTGATTGGTCCAATCTTGTAATTATAATAAGTAAGTATTTAATGATATTTCGTTCTCACTCGGAATGGCTGGTCATTCAAAGGCATTGGTATATATATAATTCCCCAATTCGTATTAAGTAATGTAATGTAATAGACATGACAAGTAGGCAAAGTCTACGATGCCTCTTGGATCAAGATGGGACGATAACCTGAGAGTTAAAGGTACTATGTCCCTTTTGCAGCCAACCTCAAATTCTGTAGAACTTTGCAGGAATTATGAATATGTCATGTATGTCCTATCTGTGAAATTTAAACGTTAGCAGTGTCCTCATATTCAAATTATGCAAGGAAACCCGTTTACTTGCTAGACTTCACTGTCAGACACTATTGAGTGACTGACTGTGGCTTTTTTCTTCTTTGGTAATAACATACATGAAAAGAGTTGTAAAGGGCACATGAGCATTTGACTACATCAATAACCCACTTCTTGTGATGGCCAAGATTAAACTGTTTGAATCTTTGCGCAGCATAAAACGTATGACCATTCGGTACAATAATTGTCTGAAAATCAAGACTATTACTTTTGGGCTCTATAGCCCTAAAGTCGATTTGACAACTAATAGTCGTTATTTTCCCACTTGAAGACATTTTCAAGCCCACCCTTTTTTAGGGAAGTTCTAAATTAGTATTATCTTTCAAATGCAGTTGGAATTTAACTTTTTCATTTTTTTGGCCTGCAAATGGGACATAGTACCTTTAAAGCCCCACTGTCCTACTTGTAGCTACTTGCTTCCCCAATCGGTGCCTGTTGGCCCCCCCATGATCCTCTTTTTCTTATGTTAGTTGAGAGCTGAGTTAATGAGATAGCCACCTGTCAGTGACCTCGCTGTGTGGTCTAATCCCTTCTGACCCAGTAGTATTGCCGGTCTTTAAATCTTTTAATTACAGCAGTTCCATTTTATTTTTGTTGACCAAAATGTCTTTGCTTATAACCATTTCTCATGTTACCAATTCTTTGGTCATGCACTATCATCGGGAATAAGGAAAGAAAAATCCTTTCGTCCTTGACCTTTGACCTGATATTATTGCCTTTGTCCTCTGATTTCATTTTCTGCGAAGCAAACATTTTGTTGATTGAAACTCTCCAGTGAGGCGAAACAATTAGGAAACAAAGCTGTCTGGATAGTAATGCATTATTGCCAGTTCAAACTGTTTCAGATGAACTATTACGCACAATCAAAATTGAAATAATCTGCACGCAGAGGAAGTATCCTTGGGCCATTGATTTTGATTAACACTCTGAATGATTTGTATAAAATCAATCAACAAAATGTTCCCCTTTTTTGTATGCGGATGACACTTGCATGTACTTTGCTGCAAAAGACCCAAAGATATTTTAGAAACTAATCAATGTTGATTTGAAATAATGAATTGTTGCTTAACGTTGACAAAATATGCCAGTTCATGTTGACCGGTTCAAAGTCAAACTTGGGTCGTTTCTGTAAAGTTGATATTTGTCTATAAATAACATCAAATTATTTAGAGTCATGGAATACAGATATCTTGGGATTTTGTTTGACTGCAATCTTTCATGGAATCCACAAATAGACCATGTAAAGAAAAGGGTTTTAAAGACGTATAGGCTATCTTGCTTTAAAGTGAATGAGGCAATTCACACTGAAAGATAGCATTAATACTGTACAAAACCTTAATTCAGCCTTATTTCGCTCATTGCAGCGCAATTTGGATGAACGGTAAAGAAACTCGTTAAAAACAACTTCAAACTCTACAAAATAGATGTTTGAGATCTGTACTCGGAGTGAACAGTAGATTTCGCACTGAAATCTTTATAATACCCTTGAAATTGACATGCTGAAAGAACACTGGGTCAAGGAGGCTTTGGTTACTATATTTAATTTGTTACACTCTTGGTTCACCTTTAAAAAAAAAATCTTCATTGATCGAATTAAATACTGATTTAGGCTACATGTTCGTTATAATTATATGCTAAATCACAAATGCCCTTCCAATACTTCACACAATTTTCTTTAGCATAGTCCATTATACCATGCATCAAACCTTGCCCTATGATATCAGTAAAATTGAAAATATTGGCTCACTTATTTCATCTCGTGGATATAAATGTTATTATGTTTTTTGTATCTCTCTTTTGTCACTATTATTCGATTTTGTACTTCAAATGTCATAATATAACTTGCATAATGTCATTTTTTAATATTCTATTGTTCGAATTTTATGTAACCACGGCCTCGCTGAAAAACAGCATTTGTTGAATGCGGGCACATTATTATTGTATTTGTTTGTAACCGTGACAAAATAAAATAAACAAGCAATCAAACAAACAAACTTTTAATGATTCTATTTGCTCGAACCTGATTTCTCACCAGATACAGCAGTCAGGGTGAAATGCGTTGATTAAAGCATTTCGGATTTCCTGTCAAGCCAGTTGTCTTGCATTATGTCCTTGTGTAAATGGTTTAAAGATACTATGTCCCTTTTGCAGCCAACCTTAAAATTTTGTATAGAAATTTGCAGGAATTATGAATATCTCGTGTATGTCCGATCTGTGAAAGTTAGCAGTGTCCTATAGCATTCAAAATATGCAAGGAAGTCCGTTTACTTTCTAGACTTCCCTGTCAAACACCATTGGGTCAAGTGACTGACCGGTGTCCTTTTTTTCTTTGGTAATAACATACATAAAATGAGCTGTAACAGGCACATGAGCATTTGTCTATGATCAACAACCTATACTTAATGGCTAAAATTAAAGTGATTAAATCTTTGTGCAGCACAAAACGTACGACCATTCGGTACAAGGGTCTGGAAATCAGCCTAACCTTAAGTGATTGCAATCACTTATTTATTTATTTATTTATTTATTTATTCATGTTTTCTTTATAAAAAGCAGGGTAGTCCCATTCAAGCCGCAAGGCCTGCTTTACAAGGGAGCCCTGCTGTACACAAACCAATTACATTTCAAATATCTTACAATACACATACAAATATACAAAATATACAATAATTAAAAAATAACATAATATAAACAAACTATAAAACATTTTATACAAAATAGGAAATTAAATGAAGATGGAAGATGAGAGAGAGAGAGAGAGAGAGAGAGAGAGAGAGAGAGAGAGGGTGGTAGCAATACTTCATGTGAGCGATCGCAAAATCAACTCACTTGAATTGAATTTCACGGACATTACGTTTAAAAATGGGTAGTGAGGCGGAACATTTGGTAAG